CGTTGGCCAAGGCACTGAATAATTCTCGATTGGAGCGGTTGGATCTCAGTCACAATCCAGCCTTGGATGACACGGCGGCAGTGGCATTGAGCCAGGCATTGCAAACCAACACGCAATTGCAAGTGTTGAATTTGTCGGGTTGTACGGGAATTACCGTCCAGGGGGGTATAGCAAAGTTCGTGGAGTGTCTCAGCAGCACCAAACACAACAACCACAATGTGACACTAGAACATATCTACTGGAAGAACCAACGGCCCACAAGGCATGATCCCAGGATGGCTGCTGCTGCTGCTGCCACCGCCACGGAGAGTACTGCTACTGCTACTACTAATACCAGAACCAACCAGAACATAGACGACAAAGACATATTGCAAGCAATGGAGTATTACCTGTCATTGAACAGGGCGGGAAGACGACTGTTGATCCATCATCCGAAAAATGGCCGAGAGAAAGTGCCAATCGCCGTGTGGCCACATGTCTTGGCTAAGGCGTCCTCTGTCAATAAATCGTCCTTGATTGGGCGTCAAAGGCCTGGACCTCATGAACTTTTCTATCTCTTGCGCCAGAATCCGGGACTGTTTGAACACACGCAACAACAAAAAACGCTCTTCATCGTGAACGACTGATTACCTGCAGTTCAAACTGCTGCTTTCAGATGATTCATCATTCGCACTGTCTGTCGGCGCAGTGCAGTCTCCAACACAGAAAATGTTTATAGCGTTGCAGACGCTTACTTTGAAACGCATCAAACAAACAGCCCTCCTGATTCCTTCGAAATAGCTTTGGAATGAGATGGATCTCCGTGCGGCAACACTTATTCTTGCCAGACAGAGAGACGTCACGCGCCAATCCACTCTTCGAGCGGCTGTAAGTCTAGTACCCAGTTTGTACTGTATTGTGAGAACCAACAAGTCACAGGTTGGCATCGCTACTGCAGCTACCGGTAGTTGCCTTGCAGTTGCTACGATTACCAAAGGTGATCCACTACCATAATGTGTGCAGTGTTATGGCTGGGCCTACATTACATTACCGCGAAGCCCCTTTTTCCGGCACCTCAAACTGGGAATACGATACCAGAAGCCAGGAAGCTACTGGCACAGCACAGCTTCCTCGTGCTAACGTACCGATGCAGTTGCAGGCGCCCGCTAAAGCAGCTCCAGCTGTGACCCGTCTGGTGGTGCTGACAGCACCTGCACTCCCTTCCGCCCTTGCCAGTCTAATTGGTACACAATACTACTGTAATACTACTGCAAGATGAGCACTATTTACAAACATTTCCGTGTCTTCATTGCTGCGCCTCCACTCTAGCAGTAGGATTGCTGTTCTTGCCTCCTTCACGGTTTTGGTTTCTTCTTTTCACATAATGATATACATAGACCAAACTTTGAGGTGTGACCCCACTAATTTGTGAAGCCTCGGCAAAAGTACTGGGCCGGACTCGGTTCAGTTTCTCAATCTCCTCTTTCTTCAGGGTCGGGAGTGTTTCTGTGCTGTAGACAATGTCAGGAGGGATTCTGGATCCTTGTGCTCTTCTCCAGCTCTCCATATCTCTGTGCTGTCTCCTGACAAACACTTGATACTTGACTGATGCTTCCACAGTGTCGTACACCGAAACTGGTGAGGGATCCATCACTTCAACCGGTTCTTCCTTCTTGAAAAAAAAGTCATCCTCGACAACTTCACTAGCATCCTTTCCCTTTGCCCTGGCCTCTTGCTCTGCCTTTTGCTCTTTCTGAACCTCAATCATGATGTCTTCTACACGATCCAATGTTGTGTGTGGCATGGCCAGAACTTCTTCTGCTGTCTTCTTCTGACCTTTCTTGCGCTCTACCTGATCTCCTCCAAAAACAGCCCCTCCACGTTCCGCCCAATCAATCACCTTCATATCAAAGTGACGAAGCTTTTGAACCCGATCCTCAATGAGCGACTCTCGTGCTTCCATTGCTACAATGCGTTCTTCGTCATGGACGAGACCCGCGTTCATGCCCTTTCGAGTCAAGCGCAAATCGGCATTGTCGGCTCGAAGGCTGATCCTATATTCCGCTCTCGAAGTGAACATGCGGTATGGCTCTGACGTTCCTCGTGTCACCAGATCATCAATAAGGACACCGATATACCCTTCATCGCGTCCAATGATAAAGGGAAGAGGAGGTCCTTCGCCCTGAGCGGCCGCCTTGGCCACTTGGCCCGCATTAGCTCCTGCCACAATGCCTTGTGCGGCTGCTTCTTCGTATCCGGTTGTTCCACAGATTTGTCCGGCAAGATACAGCCCTGCAATGGCTTTGGTTTCCAAAGTATGTGTCAGGGATTGTGGATTGACAAAGTCATATTCGACATCATAGCCAGGACGGACAATCTCAACTGCTCCGAGTCCCTTCATGGACCTCATAATCTTCAGCTGAATTTCAGGTGGAAATGGTCCACTCATGCCATTGGGGTAGACAATATTGGATTCGAATCCCTCTGGTTCGAGAAAGCAGTTGTGTGAATTGCGTTCTGGGAAGCGTTGTACCTTTTTGTAAATGGAAGGACAATACCTCGGTCCATTGCCAGCACCATCCATTCCATCATAGTGGGGCAACGTATCTTCGTATTTCATTACGAGCTCATGTGTCTGATCATTGGTGGCTGTTTGAGCACATGTGATGATTTGGTTGGCGGCCATACGAGGTGGTTGCTCACCCCGAAATTGCAGAATATGGCTAAAGGGTGAGGCCGGAATTTCCGAGGGTTGCTTGGGACAGATATCCCAATCAATGGTGGATCCATCCAGCCTTGGTGGAGTCCCTGTCTTGAGTCGTCCTAGTGGGAACTGAAATCTAGCCAAGGTTTTTGCCAATCCAACCGATGGTGGTTCGACCTGTTCTGAATCGCGAAGATGCCTGCCTCCACTGTATCGATCATGTCCCATCAACAGGACTCCCCGCAAGAAAGTTCCCGTGGTGATAATGACAGTGCGACTAATGACGTCTCGTGTACTTCCATCTTCTGTTTCAATTTGTACTCCACGAATTCGAGCCTTTCGATCTTCCACTGCTATAGTGGCCAACTTTCGAAGGTTATCTTCATTTTCGGATGACTTTCCCAGCAGTCCATTTTTGTTGTTGTCGCCACTGCTCATCATGGGTGCCAAGGACTCCAGGGATGATGACGTTTTGGATTCATCCAACAGCAAATCCTGTACCGATCCCTGCAAGCAGGTCAAATTGGGATACTCCCCCGAGACCAATCGTTGTTGCATACTCTCCTTGTACCAATCTCGATCCATTTGTGCTCTAGGTCCTCGCACGGCAGGTCCCTTGCGACGATTCAAGACACGATAATGGATCCCTGCATCATCGGCCACGGTACCAATCAATCCACCCAAGGCATCCACTTCTCGCACCAAATGGCCTTTTCCAATGCCACCAATGGAAGGATTGCAAGATAATTCCCCCACCGTGTCTAAACGTTGTGTGATCAGTGCCGTCTTGGCACCTGTACGGGCTGCAGCGGCGGCAGCTTCGCAGCCAGCATGGCCACCTCCAACAACAATTACATCATAGTGATCATCGTAGCCTCCTTGATTGTTGTCAGCATGAAGAGCGGAAAAGGAGCGAGCCAATGGGTGAAATCGTGGAGCCGCCAAAATAGGATTGTTCTTCTGGCTGACTGATCGTACAGCAGCTTTTGCAAGAGGAGCACGCAACATAAAGCTCCAGCAAGGGGACATGGTCGCAAACACCAATATGCCAAGAAAGGTCCACCGCTGACGAACACAGCAGACCCAAGACACTAAAGGATAAAGTGGTTTCAACGCCATCAACTTTCTATAAGACTCCAGATGCAACCCACCCAAATTGTTGTTGACAAAGACAAGAATTGATCAATGAAGCTTGTCAAATAAATGTCAACTCTACAAGAAATCCAGACGACGTTCCAAGGCTTGGTACATTGAGTGGATCTTACTAAATCGACTAGGGTTAGAGGAAACCGTCTGTGCCTGCAAATGCCACTGGCCCTTGCTTTTAAGAAGTCAACGCAAACTGGACTTTTTCTTCTCTTCTATTTTTGTGCATCTCTGGTCTTATCGTACCTTACCGGCATGCTGACTGTCTGTTTTGATCTGGCAGAGCAATGCGCTGTACAGACGTATCGGAAGTTCCTATGATAGCTAGCGGTATCTTCCAACATTCTATGCCTCTCGCTGTGAACAATCCTTTGTGAAAGAAACACGCTATGTTATAGTTGCACAAAACACTGATCAATTCCAATCAACATTCCCCCCCAAAAATGCTGATATTGGTCTTCTAGCTAGCTGGCTAGGCAATGGATGGCATTTCTGTCGCATCGGGTGCTGTGGGCGGTTGATAGCTGAATCTATCAAACCACATGAGTCCTGCCACCAAGACCAGACTCCCCACCACTCCAAAGATATATGCCAACTGCCACCCAGTTCCCTCTAATTTCGCACCGAGCAATATCGTGACAAACGTCAACAAGAGAATCAAATATCCCATGCCCTTGTGCTGGAGTTCCCACCACCAGCGAGAACCACTACTACTATTTGTCGTAGAATCGTCAGACTTGCCCGGTCGGAACAACAGCGCCAACAATGGCTGTAGTAGGACCAGTGCAAACACTGTGGCACCAAGACACCCATGCTGAAAGCTGGTGGTGCCGGAGCCGTCGGCAAAAACGTTAAAATTGCGAACGGCAATGGCAAAGCCGCCAATGCCAAAAATCAATCCGGCTACTTGAAATCCACGATGAAGACGGAACCAGAGGTCTCCCGGACGATGTTTCATCAGACGTGCCGACAGGACACCCATGGGTAAGAGCCAGCCAAAGGAAAACATCATGATGAGACCGTGGATCATTCCAGTTGTCAACGCCATGGTTTCTTCGTGGACTGCGACAAAAAGAGGAAGACTATAGCCGGTGGTTGACAACAGAAGGAATCTTTGGATGTAGTTTCCCTGATTGTTGAATAAACTCAACTCTTCAAGGTAGTGTGTGTGGTTGCTACCTTGCCTCGTATGCGCTGTCAATCAATCGAAGCTTGGCCCCAGCGTGTTGGCTCGCCGTTGCCGTGAGTTGTGGATTGGTTCGGTGTTCGGTGAGTGCGGATTGGAGCTTGGGAAGATCTCAAGATCCCTGTTTCGCAAGACTGCAAAACGGCAAAACTGCGAACCCACGGCAATCGTCGAGGAACAAAAAGCTGTCTTCTCTAACCCAACCTCCACACGCGAGTTGACGGGGATTTAGAGTAGGGAAATTATCTACGGAAGCCAGCCGGTAGTTTAGTTTCATTACAAAGAACCGATACCGGTATAGGTCCAGGAGACAAAACCCTGACCGGGGATGGTTGATCAGAGATGGCCCTGGTGTCGGTAGCTAGGTGGACGCTTCGTCCACACTTCGAGCGGTCGCAAGTCTAACCGGTTTTTTGCTTCAGGAACGAAGCAAGTCACAAGCAGGTTTGCATAGCTACATGTACTACAGCTCGGTGCCGTGTAGTTACTAGAGGGCAAGATTAGCTTGGCACACTACCGGCTTTCGTATACCAGCGAATAATCCAATTCTCTATACTCTCTATACCGGTAAGGTACAATAGTCTATCGGTAGCTGGATCAGCTTCATAAATTCGCACTGTATGGAACCAAACCGGTTGTTTAGTATTTAACAGTCCTTTGGAGTCTTTTCCTCTGTTTAGTCCTCGTCCTCACTCTCATCCTCGTCCTCGCTCTCGCCCTCAATCTCACTCTCACCCTCGTTCCTCCTAGGCATTTGTTGCCTAAAGTAAAATGGGAGCAAACGTGAAGGACACCCATTTTCATAGGCCCAGCGCAAGCTTCGAGGGGATTCATAATCAGTCAAGAAAAGGTCCCGCCACTTCCAGGGATGTTCTTTTCGAGAATAGAACCATTGAAGGATGTGCACTAATCCCTGATAGAGAGCCTCCCTGATGCAAGAAATCCGATTGCAGTCACATCCGTTTTCGTAGGCATATTGTAGTGTTTCCACATGCCCGTATTCGACCGCCTTCAAACATGTCTCTGAGTCCCAGGGACAGCCATTCTCATGGGCATACTGCAGAGTGCCCACATGGCCATTCTTGGCAGCCTTGACACAAGTATGTGTATCCCATGGACAACCGTGTTCATGAGCAAACTGCAGGGTATTCACTTGTCCTGCCTTAGCAGCAGCGTGGCAAGTGCCTTCATCCCATGGACACCCATTCTCATGGGCATACTGCAGGGTATTCACATACCCTCCTATTGCAGCAACTTCACAAGTATGTTTATCCCAGGGGCATTGATTATTGTGCAGCCATTGGAGGATGTGAAGATGTCCATGTTGTGCAGCATATGCACATGTGTATTCATTCCAGGGACATCCAAGTTGACGGGCGCGTTGGAGGGAATCCAAGTGACCAGAACGGGCAGCAGCGTCGCATGTATCTCTGTCCAACGGGTATCCCTTTTGCATGGCCCATCGGAGCATTCGAGCATTTCCTTGCCCGGCCAAGTAGGGGCAAATCCAACCAGGTATATGTAACGGAATCCAATCGTGAGACATTTCACTGTGCCAGTGGTCGGCACAAGCCTCATTGGCAAAAGTAGCACTGTACATAGTAGATGTTGCTGTTGCTGCTACTGGGACCCCGGAAAGCATAAAAATTACCTGTGGAGGATTGGCGATTTTGCCACAGAAGCTCTTGTAAGCCTGATTCATCTGCTTGTTCACGGCTCCAACAAAAGTATAGTGACCCATGCCAAGGAAGGAGAAAATGTGGTTGGAAATTTTGGTGTGATGCAAGAGATCTTGAATGGAAAGGTCTGAATCCTTGGGGGTGACATGGAAGGGAGAACAGAATTCTTGGTAGGTTCGTTTCATGCGATAGCTCGTACAGGCCAGGGAAGCCTTGTCATTTGAGTTGAGAAAAGAGAAAATGCTATTCTCTTTTTGGAGCAGCTCCAGGAGCGATGGTTCTTCTCGGTTGTTGTTGTTGTCATGTTGACTTTTCATGGCAGTTGCCGTTTCCTTTTTACAGTACTCTCCAAACGATTGTTTGGCGACCTTGTTGACACGATACAGAGTAGCTCCCGGTCTAACCAAGGTTGCTTTGTCGCGGAGAAGAGGTGCGGGGGACTCCGTCATTGTCACAACAGTTTCCTGGAGGTGGGATCCTTTTTGTTGGTTTCCACGTTGGTTGTTCATGGCTGTCTTTAAGATGTTGTTTTTTCTTGTGCTGTTGGTGGGAATGTCTTCGCTCTTGATGGATGGTGACGATAGATTGAGTGGTCTGAGACTTGCTATTGCATTGCTTTGTCCTGGATGGGTTGTGATAATATTGGGATGGCTGAAGATAGATGTGCTCTTTTCGTTGCTTTGTGCCGTTGTGGACCATGCAGCCAATGACAACGGAAACGTACCTGGTACCCAGGCCCGCACTTCTAACCTCAGGTATCGCAGGCAGGGGCGGGGACCCAGGGAGATGGGAATATGTGTGTCTCTTGGAAACTCTAATGATAGCTGGTTGCCATGGAAGGCCCAGTTTGGTCAAAGCTGGTCAACACGATTGACCAAAGGGCAAAACAGTGGCGTGGGCCATGCTGCTACTGTTGCAGCTAGCTAGCTAGCTAGCAGTATCCTCCGTGGATACATGTGCTTGTTGGCTCTTGGACTGCCTCATGGTCAGTGGTGCACGTGGTGGTCATGGTCGTGGTTACCGTACGGTACGGTACCACCTGTGGTCTCCCATCAATAATGGCAATTTACTAGTCTATTAGTTAGAATTGCCAGTGAATATTTCCAGTTGCAGTCAACCGTGGTCAAGGGTGGTCCCTGCAAAAGAAAGTGACGGTTTGTCATACTGAACCTGGATCATGAAAAGCTCCTTCTATGCATATGCATACCAGTATCGCTACCTCACTTTGAACCCGGGGGGTGTATGCATACATACCGGTACCGTGCATGCACAGTCGTTTGATTTGTTCTTGGCTTGCATTGGCTCAGGTTATAAGATATAAGTTGCCATCGTTGGTATCTTGGTATCTTGGTGGTTCCGGCTCCTTTTAGACCACGGAATGTTTCCCCACCTCCCAACTCAGAATCGAATCTGTTTTTTGCACCTCGTACGCGTACGCGTTAGCTACTCTTTTTTAAGGTTAGTGCAACAGGACGAGAAAGCATCTCATCCCCGTCCTCAGTCCTTGCCGGTCCATATGCCTACGACTGTACTTCACGCCCAGAACCCAGAACCCCTTGATCCCTTCCCATACTTTTTACAAGCGGACGTTACCTAGTACCGTTCCTTTCAGGAAGGCAGCCGATTTTAGAGAGCGTTGGCATTGTCAATCGCCAAAAACTGAGCCTCCCGCAAGTCACTATGAAAGTCGTTCGCGATTCGCGCTAAGTCGCGCTGCGCGACTTGGAAAGTCGTTCGCGACTCGCGCTAAGTCGCGCTGCGCGACTTGGAAATACTAGAATTTACCGTAAGAAAGACGATAGAAGTCGCGCAAAGTCGCGGTAAAGTCGCGATATTGTTCAAGTCGCGCAGCGCGAATCGCGGGAAACTCGCGCAGCGCGAATAGGAACGACTTTCAGCGATCCAAGTTGAAGTAGGGTTTGGCTAGGGTTAAGGCCAATCGGCTGCCTTCCAGGTAATCCCCTTTATAGTTATTTATTTATTTATTTATTTATTATTATTATCTTGTCGGGTCATCAACCCGTCAATTCAACCAACCAACGAACAAAATCCAACACCATGGCGGCTCTTGTGGCCTCCAGCTAGCTAAGTCTCATACATGTACTATCATTGGTACCGGTAGATAGCAGAATGCCTCATCCACGGTATAAACAGGTTGCTACGGAAGACGAAAAGAACCATGTTGCTGTGCGATCCCACAACAAGACCGCAATGTTCTTGGTAGTTTTGGTAGTGCTCCCAGTTCCTTTCATGTTCTGTATTTGGACCCAGGGTCTCTCCTTGGAGTCCATTGGATGGAAAAAGCAGCTCCGTACTACTGATGACTGGAATCTGCAAGTGCAAGAGCAAGAGCCAAGTCCCGTACTGACACAACATGCCTTGGACTTTGTGGCACGACGAAGAAAAGCCTATGCAAAGGAGGGCAAGCATGATGATTGGAAACTCCGGGGCCACGGCTATCTTCTTACCTACCAAAACATTGTACTGGCTGCCACTGTGATCTCTTCAACTACTGTTACTGAACAACCACAAGAGAATGGGCTAACCATGGGAAGGAATCGAATAGTCATTTGGAATGTGCATCCTAAAAGATCCCAATCTTCAAAATTGTTGGATCAGTGCCACTGGCTGACCATATGGGTGCGCGTCAATGGTCCGGAAATACTCTCGGGACTGGCACGGCCCATTGCTGCTGACTCTGTGGCAGGAAGAGATTGTCGGTGGGACTTTTGGGTGGACATTCAAACGCCCGGCCAATACGAAATCGATGCCAAACTCTTGACATGGAATGGTCTGGCACCCATGCATCTGGTGGGTACCAAACCTACCGAACATCAGTGTCCGCATGTCGAAATGGGCACCAACGAGCCGTCCCCACAAGCACTCGAAAAGGCACCCCAGAAGACTTCTATTTTGGGATTCAAACTCTACCAATCCGTCGGGGCATGCTGTGAGATATGCCGTAGGATACCTCGCTGTTTGTATTGGGCGACTCCTGCGAAACAACTACCCGAACCCGATGATAAAAACACGGGATGCGACCTGTACTTTGCCAAGGACACTCCGGAGGATGGCATTCCCACGTCTCCTCTTTTGACGCAAGTGACGCAGAATCAAAATGCCGTCATTCAACAACGGCAAGAAAATGGAGAACCAACACCGAAACCACAACAATTGCCCAAAGCATGGGGGGCCTCGTATGAAACAAAACTTCCCCAATACAAATACAATACGACTCAATTCCTAGGCTGTGGGTGGAGTTTTGAATTCGCCGTAGACTTTCCCTGTCTCGATGGAAACCTCGATGATCATGTATACATGGAAACCAGAGCCTTTACTGTGACGGAAGGAGGCACACCACAAACAACATCTCAACAGAAGAAGAAGAAGAATCATCTACCCCTGTGTGGCCAGAAGCATGAAAGTTTCGTCCGTATGCGGCAGCAGACCCATCCTCCAAACAACAACGGCGCTACAAAACTCACGGGTCGGTGGGTGCGAGAACCCTGGCCAACGCCCACCAAGTGTCCGGATCCCATGACGATGCTTCCGCCATCGGAAGGTAACAATAAAAACTTTCCCATGGAAACCATCGATGGCAGTCGACCGCATTGTTGGCACCGCAGTGATTTGTCCGAATTGAGTAGTCAATGTTTTGAGAGCAATTGTCAGTACATTCTACCACAACATCGCTGGGAATCCACACCCCTCAAGCACGACACGCAATTTAATGCCGTGTGGAAGAATTACAACTGCCATTACGTAGAGTTTACCGACCGGCAGCTCTCGGAATGCTTTGTCAAGAACAAAATCTCCAAAATTACAATCAAAGGGGCATCCGTCTCCCGGATGCTCCGGCGCTACTTTGAAGTGCGCATGGAACATCTCACCTTTTACGACGAGAACTTACCGGATGCCCGTCAAATACGAGTGAACACTCTCATGTGGCCCCATGCCATTTGGCACATGAACGAAACACAGTGGCTCCATTCCATCAACAAATCATCTGCTGCCATCATTGCTCCCACCAATGACAAGGAAGAAGAGTACATTTTGTCTCCGTTTCTGACCAGTAGTGAGAGAGAGCAATATATGCACATTGACCGGGCGGTGCGATTTGGACAAACGATCGAAGAGCTACTGTCCAGTAGAGGCTACAAGTTCATCAATGCATTTGAATTGTCGGCCGCTTTCACCGTACGTGCATGTCGTTGCAAAAGATTAATGAAAGCGCCTGTCTTGATCAAAGTGCCTCACCTATCTATATCTGATCGCTCGCTCGGCATGCAGTATGACACGACAACCCAAAGTGATGGACTTCATCTGGTGGGACCTCCGATGAAGATGATTGTGATAAAACTGTTTCATCACATCTGTTCGGGGACAGTGGAAGGAACTATATTGTGAGTCTCTGCGTGGGCCCTGTTTGCTTTGCTTCGGTACCGGTTCCGCGGGAACTCCTTCGAAGGCAACAAGTGGTTCACTCATTCGCAAGGGACAAGCGCGATGCAGAGGCGAGGAGCTGAGTTGTGAGAGCTGGGCACTCGGTTCGCCGTCAAACGATGGAGCAAATTTTCGAGAGGACGAGTTTGTTTCTGGCTAAAAGGATACAGTATTGCTGATTGATCAGCGGAACAGGGACGAGAGCACAAGCGAAATCGTTCGACGGGGCCGGAATGATATGAAAAGGGACTATCTGCACGCGGGAGGGTGAAGCATGTATGCAAAAGTAGGACACGATTGCTATATTGATGTGGTTTATTGGTTGTGTAGCTTGCTTTTTCTTTTCGATATAGAATGTATGCATGAGCAATTGAATATACATGTTTGGATGATGCCCATGTTAATGTTTGCCCTTCACGGTTCGGAGCCTTCTTCAGGCTGCCGTGTTGTTGGCGCAATTACGTTCCAGCAAGTGAAGATCAATGTTAGAGTTGTTCCTCGAGATAGCTGGCGACTTCGGTTTCGCCAGGCTGAAGAGATCAGGAGATGAACTCACGCGCTCAGTAGGAAATGGCTGGAAGGGAGACGGCAAGGCTGCTGTGTTGGTTCCCAGCGCAGGAGAGTGGAGGATGGAAGGGGGCGTGACGACGGGAGGTGAGGAAGCCGCCGGTACAGTTGGCATCTGTGGCGCTTTAGGAGGTGGCAGCAGTTCCGAAGATTGAAAATCTCGAGCAGAAGACTCATTCTCCAACAGTCGATCATCACACTGCTGCCTCTGAGACATACCAGGCGAACAATGCTTGGAATTGTCAAGAGCAAACGCCTGGGACTGCATATCCGATTGGGCATCTCCGTTGCTGGACGAAGTTGACTTTGCCTTGCTGGAGCCGTCATTGGAGTTGGTGATGGATGCCAACCAGAAGGTCTGGAGTACGCCTGGAAGAAAAGACCAATTGCGGAGGCAGCGTTAGTACTCACCGAACAACCCCAATCAATTTGACTCGCTAGCTATGTTCGTTGACTCACCTTTTCCTTTTGCTTCCACAACATCATCTCTGGGTGTCAACCACGACTTTGCTCTGGTTCGCCCTCCTTGGTCCAAGAGGTGAGCTGTCTCCACGGACACCTGGATGCGCCCAATGGTGCTGGTGCTTTGCATTCTCGATGCTGTGTTCACAGTGTCGCCAAACAGCTGAGGATAAGGAAAGTGACGAGATGGTGAGACACGTGTCTGGACGAGAACAATCCACAGCACGTGCTCCGGGTCGCACTAACCTGAAAGTGACTGGCCTTCTGGCCTCTCAATACTCCAGCCTGAGTTTTAATATACAAGTCAAATGTGTGTCAGTTTGTTCATGACTTGGACCACACATGTAGGGCCACAGCTCCAATTGGTCGATCGACGAACATTGAACTTACCGTAACAGGACCTGAATGCAATCCAATCTTGAGCTTCAGGTTTGATGTTTCGGGACCTAACCTTGGTTGCAAAGCAGCCATGACTTCTGTCATTTTGAGCATACAGCTGCGGGCAAAGCGGGCCATGATGTAGGCATGATCCGGTTGCGGTTCTGCAAACACATTGGGATTCAGAACAGAAACCGAGTTGGGTGAGAATGCATACATGGCACTTCACAAAACCGGCACAGGGTCGAGTCAAGTTGGCTGCGTACCTGGCAGGCCCGCCACAGCGAGATATTGGTCTCCAATCTATCACAATCAAGAGTGAAGGGTTCTGGTGAGCGATGATGAAGAGATAAGAAAAGGAGAAGCTAAACTTGGCTTGCTTACAGTTTCCACCTTGAAGACATTCCTGTGACGAGCTAGGTGGTCAAATTCTTGGTACAAAGTCTCCAGCAGCCGGAAGACATCTTCGGGTGAATGTTCCAAGCTCCATTCCGTGAAACCTGTTGGATGATTGAGCAAGATATACATATAAGACCACGGGAGGCAGCGATTCCAAGCAAGGACAGAGGACGCATCGTGCATATGGTACGTACCCACAATCTGGGCAAACAGGACCGTGCACTGGAGAAGCAAGGAGGACATACATGTCACAGGTGAGAAGACCAATTAGTATCTCAATCGGGCGGGGCGTGCCAACCTCATCAACACGAACGTACCTGAGGGAAGAGAGTTGCAATGGGCTTTCCTTGGAATGCCACCGCATTGAGGTCTCGGTTCAGGTTCAACTGCACCTTGTTATTCTCCTTGACGTTGCTGTTGTTGTTGTTGCTGTCTGCATTGTCTTTTTTCTTGGGCAAGATGGATACCTTTGCGGCAGCAGTTGTGTTGTTGGCGTTGTTGTTATTGTTGTCTTCGTTTGCATCGTTGTCTTCGAGGAGCCGGTTTCGAACGTCGGAAGGAAAGAACCGTTCGACAATGGCGTTGGATCGTTTGACGACTGCCTGGATGCGCTTCTCTTGTCGCATGGCAAAGCAATTGTAGAGTTGCAAGACACAGCAGACAAAGATAAAGATGGCAACTAATAGTGAAAAGAAGGGGTATGCATGTGTGAGTGAGTGAGTCTTAGAATGCCAGGTCGTAGTGGAGACGGTCGCGCATTCAGAGTAGTGTCTCACCTTGACTCGCAGCAAAGATTCTGGGAATATCGGAATGATAGTTCTTGTAAAACTCGGGGGACGGATAAATGTGCAATTCATAGTGGCAGTATCCAGCATCATCAGTATGATTGCTAGTGGTAGCATTGTAGGTCGCCGTCGACGAGACAAATGGACTAAAGGGTGCCGCAATGTCAAAAAAGTCTTGTTCGGAATCGTGTTGATCCCCATATCCCAAAAACACGGCTTCCTTGCCATTGAGTTGAAAGGAAAAGGGTTCTCCACAGATGGTGGAGTGAGGTGTCAAGACGAGTTGAATGCCATTGTCTCCTGTCGGGAGCAAATTCTCAAAGAACGTCTTCCAGGGCACGACTTGGAGGAGCACCGCGACGAGTGTGCGATTTTGAGCACTCGTGTCAAAATCTTGATAGACGGGCGACACAATGACACTGTGGGGTTCCAAGTGTTCTTGGGAGGTTTCATTGCCATACTGCCGTGCCGTGTACTGCCAATGAATCCCAAACAGTTCAAAGAGATGAAAGGGTTCCGTGAGAATGGCCGCACCGTGGTCTTGGACCGCTTGCACCGCGCGGGCAATGCGTGGATGCGAGAGGGCATTGTAATTGACGGGCGAAAGGTCTCTGTCTTGTGGGGTCGAAAACTCGGAGGGAATGGGGAACATTTGCCACAGTGGCAAAAAGGGTCCGGGGCCCTTTTCGACGCGCCGGTATTCCTTCTTGTGATCGGGGTCGTACTCGAGATCGCGAGTAAAGATGCGGGTGGGGATGGTACTATTGGCATCTTCGTGATCGGAATGGAGACGACGGCGACGACTCGTCGTGACTTCCTTGTCGTCGTCGTGGCGTGTCGATGCCCATGCCTGATTGTCGACCGAGTAGTCTTCCCAGGCTTCTTGCTGCTCCACAACCAAGGGTGCCAAGGCAATGAGCTGCTGCTGATGGGCGGCCCAATGCGCCGTGAAGGACTCGGCAATCTCGACAAAATTGGGATCTGTGACGTAGGGCCACGAGACATTGCTGCTCGCAGCAAGCGCAGACGATGTCAAGTGAAGATTGAGTGGCGCCATTTCATCGTGTGTTTGTCGGGCTTTGGCTTGGGATTGACGAACAATGTGTTCGGCGTATTCGTAGTACTGTGAATGTATACATATAATAAGATAAGGAAGAACGAATGGGTGAGTGAAGGATCCATGAGGTCATAGAATACCATTCAGTACACTTACCTTGTCAGTAACGACCAGATCTCTTGCGACCAATCCGTAGATAAAGGCAAAGCCGGCCGCCAATCCAATGAGAGAAAGCAAGAGCACCATGAGTGACTTCCAAATGATATCTCCCGCTCCCAGGAACGCTTCTGTGGAGGCTGACTTGTGGACGTTGCCACTCGTCTCGTTATTTTTGTTCGTGCGCGTGGACGTCTCTTCTTCATCTTCATCGTTGTACTTTTCTTCTTCGCAGCTTTCTGCCGCCAACGACAAGTCGTCCACCAAGGACAGAGTGGATTGCTTCATGATGGAATAGTCGGTCATGGTCACTCTTTTCTCGTTTGTTTCTTTCGACCAATGGATGGATGGATTGTGTGCTCTTTTTCAACACTCCAATGCCATGCCTGTCGGATGAAAATGCCTCCTGTTTGCAATCGCAGATGTCGCGTCCAACTGGCAGTCTAATACACAAAAGATGACCACATAACCTGGTTATGTGGTCATGTGGTTTTACATGTATGATAACCACAATGTTATTGTCATGACCACCATACTCCACCATACTCCAAGCTTCTCCACCATCCACCCATCATGAACGAAAGAAGAAAGAAAGCTTTGACAAGAAGGGCCTCCATGACCATCGTTAAACCCTCTTGAAGAACTATGCAATCCAGCTGAAACTCCGGAACTTGACGTTTGAACCTTTGACGAATGCCTTCCAAGATCCAAGTACAGGTACCAGTACTGCTACATTTGGGTCGTTAAAAGTAGGATTCTTTTGTTGATCAGAGAACTCACCAAAGAATCCTAACAAATGTCCACAGTGCGGAAAAAAGAACACGTACAAAAAGTACCAGATTTTAGTCGCGGCAAAAGCAACCGGAAGAGACGATTTAGTCGCGGAAAGCGACTGTCTGGAAGAGCTCTGGAAGAGACGATGAAATGCTGCAATGATGATAAAAAACTCCAGATGATATCGATTAGCAGCTATTAGCTACGGTGGCGAACCGAGTCGAGCCTTCCCCTTTAGTTTGCTTTCAATGGAAGAGCTTCTTTTGGATGAAAAGAATTCCGAAACGTCGTCGTGCATGCAACTTACTTTTGTAAAGTAAGGCACGACGCCGCGAACGAAGGAGGCAACCGAAAGGATGGTTTGTGCTTGTTCGCCATGCCGTATGTATCGAGAGAGCAGTTTCGTCATCTATGACAGAGCTCTCTGTGGGCTTTGATGGCTGACCATTACGAATGGGCTGTCCGGGATGAAGGAACCTGCTCCAAACCATTGTGGTTGCTACCACCAGCCAAACACAAGACGAACAATCGAAGGAGAGGTGCCGAGGAGAACCGCTGAAGCGCATACGTGGTGTACCGCACCGCACCGAGGATCTTGTCTCTCCGTTCATCAAAATTTGAATCGAATCTTCAATCGTAGCTCCCGTAGAGCCACTCACTGATGTGTAGTAATACATAATATCTACTCCGTTAATAAAATGACCACCTACATGTAGTCTGCCTTGCTAGTAGCACTCACAGAGACTACCACAGGATGCTCCACAGTCCACCGAACAAGGAACCAGAATCGATGTCATTTGTGGCAATTCGCACAGAGACGCAGGAACAGTTCCCTTCAGTTTGGGATTGTGATCCAAAAAGAGATATCGCAGCTGTTGCCATTCGTCACCGCCTCGTGACGATGGTATCGTCCCAGACAAGTCATTGTCAATGGCCGAGAATTCCACCAACGAGGTCATGCCGGTGGTCCATTCGGCCGGGATACTCCCCTCGAATTGATTACTCTGCAAAAAGAGACTGGTGAGTTGCGTGAGTTGCTGCATTCGTGGTAGCAGCGTCCCTCCGAGATGATTGGATCCCAAACTCAGGTAGCGCAACTGCGTCATGTCTCCCAAATAGGGTGGCAATGTTCCAACCAACTGATTGTACTTGAAACTGAGACGTCGGAGGGATGAGAGTTGCACCAATGCCGGTGGGATCATGTCTTGTGCCGTGGCATGCACACCGGCATTGAGAATGCCCAGTGTTTCGAGGCGAGTCAAAAAGATCAATTCATTCGGCAATCGCCCACCTGCGATATCGAGTGCCTTGGGGGATACTCCCTGCAGACCAAATCCGAGGAACCAATCCAAATTGAGATGTTGCATGGCATTGCCGGGATCATTGGCATCGTTGGGATTGTAGTCGTGACAGGACATACCCCAGTATTCATCTCCACCGGCATCGCCCCACTGACATTCGTGGTGCTCGTACGACAACCAGTGTTGGCGCTTGTCAGCAGGCCAATCGGGTCCATTGAGACAAATATAAAACATGGCGAGTGCCACGAGTTGTACCTTTCTCCAATTGGGCAGAAAGGCATAATCGGGATGCCCTTCGACAAAGGCAACAGCCTTGGATTGAGGACTATCAGGGTTTTGTAAAGCTTGGAGCGTGAATTCGGGCAACAACATTTGTATGGGACGCCGCGGACCTTGCAATTTAATAATGGGATCCCAGTAATAGTATAGGAATGTGCTGTCGTCAGGGTGCAGGCCATCTTGTGGTGAAGCTTCGGGAGTACCAGTACTACTATCCCCACCAAACAAGGACACACCATCGACAAAGACATGCAGCACGGCCAATACCAACAAGAGCACAATCCCACAGAGTGCCAGTACCAGTAACAATTGACACGCCCGGGATGTCCAACAGGCCCCTCCGAGGAGAACATGGAGTGACCGTTGGGACCAATTGTCGTGGGACGAAGGCGTCGTCGTGGTGCCTCGGGATTCGGTCCGATCGGTACTGCGTTCTTCGTCGGATCCTTCTTCGAGAATGTTCAAACGATTTCCAGTGGATCTCATGCCGACCCGGAATCTCCACCGGCGTTTGCTCTGTCGTTGCGCGCCCTTGCGGCTTTGGGCTTGTTGTTTTTGACCAACGACTGTCTTGTCCGAGTCTCCGGCATCGCTGTCACTGTAATAGTCATCACTAATAATGCTGCTGCTATTGTCACTGTCCTTGTCAACGTGGTCGTTGTCGTCATTATGACTGGTACTGCTGTCGGTACTCTTGCTGGCGAGTTCTTCGTCGACGGGTGCATGGCGGCGGCTGTTGTTGCTGCTATTGCTGCCATTGTTATTGCCGTTGCGAAAGAGGAGGGAAAAAGGCCAACGAGCCGCCACAATGGTTCGTGGAATGAAGGAGTGTGTGACGTTGGAGGACGTCGCACTGATGTTGGAGCCGGAGTTGTTCGAGTGTGTGACAGTCGTGTTGGTGTAACTTGTCTCATCATCTTCCTTTTCCTTCTTGTTGGTGTCTTTCTTTGTTGTGACATCATCCTCGTAGTCATCCTCGTCTGCTTGGACAAGCTCTTGTAGAAGAAGTGCTTCTTCCGCTTCCATTTCCATTTCCGTCACCAGAGTCGCATCGGGAGACAAGGGGGGCGCAGCAATAGTGGAGGATGTAATAGTACTACTAGGCGGCGACGATGGCGGCACCATGGACGTGGAGAAGAGATTGAAAGGATCCTCTTCGGCCACGACAGGAGGAAAGGCAGAGGCAGGAGGAGACGAAGCCAAGAGGGACGTGGGAAAGTGGTCCTCTTCGTTACGAAAGATTCCATCGGCATGGGCCGCTGTCGTCGTCGCCGCTGCATCATTGCCAGTGGACGACCGAAGCCGTCGAGGTCGCCAACTCCATCGATTCCTTCGCTGCGATCGCTGGGCCGCCGTCAACAACTCGGACTCTGTATCGTCGCCGAGCTCATTGTAGAACTCTTCGTCGTCGCCGTCGTCGTTGTGGCCATGGGATTCCATGTTGTTGGAGTTGCCGTTGTTGGGGGGATCCATCACAACGCTTTCTTCAGGTCTTCTATTGTCGTTGTCTTTCGCATGGTCAATCGCGATCCGCGATCACCATGTTGGTTGAGGGCATCTCATTTTTTGGTGTGTCCATAAGCCTTTCTGTTCCGAAGTTTCCTTAAGCCTTCCATCCGTGACACCAATTTGGAATCGAAAGTGTTGGGGATAAGTTAAGGCTAAATTTGATGGTAAATGTGTGCGTCCTAGCTATCCACTCTGTAGTTTCTGACGTCATTCGCAATCTTTTGATGAAAGGTTCCTCTAAATGACGTTCTCACTGACGTACTGACGTGTCTTGCCATCACCCCTCCTCTCACATTTCCAAGGATCTGACCAACCATGTCGTTCCAAGTTGATGGCTTCTCCTTCTGCCTTCTTGATGTGCAGCAACCGCCAGCTTTCCAAAGGCAACAGCAGATGGCGATCCATCCAAAAAGACACACTCTTCCAAAAGACACAGGTCGGTTGGATCCATTGCTTGTCTGAAGTGACACAAAAGATTGACCTTCAGCTTGCTTGTAGAGAAAGCACCAAGAATTGCAAGGACAACAGAAGACAATCAGATCAGATCAGGAAGAAGGATGAGGTGGTCCATGGCAATCACAGCCTGGTTGCTGGTGGTAGTCACTACCAGCATAACTCCCACGGCTGCATTTTCCAACCATGTCTTGTTTGCCCGAACCGCCAAGTGGTGGACTTCGACTTTTACCCAATTGAAAATGTCCAGTTTTCAAGACATGGTCAATCAAATGAAGGAAAAATCCGGTGACAAGTCCACTAGTTGGATTGAAGAAGCAAGAAAAGCCACGGCCGAACGAGAGGCTCAACAAAACAAGAACATTGCCGATTCCGAACGAAAGATTCCATCCTGGATTGATCAAAGTGGAGGACAACGGGCGCCGTCGGCACAATCGCAATCAGCTCCACAGGCACCGTCGTGGATGAGTGGAGGGCCACCGCAAGCTCAGCAGCATGCTCAAAATCAACAGCATGCTCAACCTCAGCAGCAAGAAAGTCAACCACCCAACAATGGAGGAGGAGGGCGACCAATTCCTAAATGGGTACAGCAAAGTGGAGCAGGACAGCAAACACAACAACAGGCGCCGCCAGCAGCATCAGGACCAAAAATACCCTCGTGGATTGATCAGTCGGGAGGACAGCAAGCATCGTCGACAACGCCCAACACTCCAACGCCACCGGCTGTGGGAACGTCACCACAGCAAGCAAAGCCGGCAGTATCCGTGGAAGATCGACAAAAACAAGCGGCTCAAATGTTTGCTAAAATGCAACCAGGAGGAGGAGCAGGATGTAAGTTGCAGAATTTGTTTTTTGGGGCTTGTGTGAGGAACCAATATTTATCTCATCTCCTTTTGCTTCGTGGAATATTTATTTATTTATGTATGTGCCGTTGACATCACAGCTACTCCTGGCAAAAAGCTTTCATCTCAAATGACCTTTGAAGAACGAGAGCAGGCAGCCAAGTCGGAAGGATCCAATCAGGCAATGGAAATGGCAGAAAAACTCATGGCGGAACAAAAGGCTAAGGATGCTGCTTCTGCGGCGGTTGCTGCTACCAATAATGGTGACAAGGCCAAGGAAATGGCTTCTGCCCATCAGCAACCACCCGCTATGCAAGATCGACAACAGCAGGCTGCCAACATGTTTGAAGCGCAGAATCAACTCACTGCCGCAGCAGTGGCTGCCACATCGATTCCCAAACAAAAGTTTCCCTCTCAAATGACATTTGAAGAACGAGAGGAGGCAGCTAAAATGGAAGGGTCCAACAAGGCCAAGGAAATGGCTGCCAAAATGATTGCAGAACAAAAGGCCAAACAGGACACTGCCGCTGCAATTGCCAGTGGAACAACCCCACCTCCGCCGAGCAGTGACATTCCAAACTTGCAAGATCGAAAAATGCAGGCCGCCAATATGTTTGCCAATGCCAAACCAAGCACACCCGCAAAAACAATGGCGGCTTCTACCATTGGAGGTCCCGCCATGTCTCCTCAAAAGAAGTTTCCATCACAAATGACCTTTGAAGAACGAGAGGAAGCTGCCAAAATGGAAGGATCCAATAAGGCCAAGGAAATGGCAGCCAAAATGATTGCCGAACAAAAGGCCAAACAGGAGGCGGCAGCCGCCAAAGCGGGAGAAAATCCGCCGGCAGGCGGTACTGTCAAACCGGCTGCAAGCGCTGCTCCTCCCTCGACGTGGCCAGGTGCTTCTTCGCATGCTGGATCTGGCACGGCTGGATCATCAGAAAGTGGCAACCCTCCACCTTTCACAACGGGCGGGCAAGCTGCAAGTGGCCCTCCGTCGTTCCCAAACCCTACTCAACAAGCAGCAGGATCAGTTGAAACGGGGGTGAAGACGGCAATGCCTGCCCCGGCACTTTCCGTGCCCTTTGCAAGAGCACCAGAACAACAACAGCAACATGATCAACAACAACAAGGCAGGGAAGATGCTGCAAAAATGGAAGGATCCAATCAGGCTCAAGAATTGGCGGCCAAACTAATGGCAGAGCAAAAGGCCAAGGAGTCGACATCCACACCAGCAGTAGCAACCAAGCCAGCTTTTCCAATGGGAGCGGCTCCTGTCAGCGGTTTCCCAGGAGCGGCAACAATTGAAAAGACGACACCAACGGCGGTTTCCGCCAGCAGCAGTGCACCAGGATTGAACGCGGCTTCTTGGCCACCCAAGAATCCCACGAACGATGACGCAGGAAGACCTGCTTTCCCTGGCGCTGCTTCTGCAACCACTGGTTCCACAGCTAGCGGCATGCCTAAAACTGCTCCCTTTGGTGGTCCAAGCATGACAGGAAGCACTGCAGATAATACCGTCAAGCCAGCTGCACCTGCTACAGCTGCAATGCCGCCAAATGCCCAAACCAGCTTTTTCAAGCCGCAGCAGGCCAGCGGACCCCAAACGAATGGACCACCAAACGGCGCCATGCCGATGCCACAATCCAGTTCTCCATTTGCGGGTGCCAAGGCAGCGGAGCCGAATGGTTCAACAACAATGACAAATGGTCCAGGGGCGTCATTCCCAGGAGCTCCCAAGACAAACGGTACCCCTGCAATGGGGGCGGGAACTGCAAATAGTTTGCCTGGTGGTCCAAAGATGAATGGGCCTCCCAATGGAGCAATGCCTCAGACAACTGGTCCTGCTTTTCCTGCAGTCCCAAAAGCAAACCCTGCAGCAGCAGGTGCTCCCAAGATAAACGCGCCTGCCAATGGAGCAATGCCACAACCATCTGGCCCAGCTTTTCCAGGGCTCCCACAAGCAAATGCAGCCACAGCAGCAGCAGCAGGTGCTCCCAAGATGAATGAGCCTCCCAATGGAGCAATGCCACAACCATCTGGCCCTGCTTTTCCGGGGTTCCCACAAGCAAATGCAGCCACAGCAGCAGCAGCAGGTGCTCCCAAGATGAATGGGCCTCCCAATGGAGCAATGCCACAACCATCTGGCCCTGCTTTTCCAGGGCTCCCAAAAGCAGATCCTGCAGCAGCAGCAGCAGGTGCTCCAAAGATGAACGGGCCTGCCAATGGAGCAATGCCTCAGCCATCTGGCCCTGCCTTTCCTGGGGTCCCAAAAGCAAATGCAGCCACAGCAGCAGCAGCAACAGGTGCTCCCAAGATGAATGGGCCTCCCAATGGAGCAATGCCTCTGCCATCTGGCCCTGCCTTTCCTGGGGTCCCAAAAGCAGATCCTGCAGCAGCAACAGGTGCTCCCAAGATGAATGGACCTCCCAATGGAGCAATGCCAAAGCCAACTGGCCTTGCTTTTCCAGGGCTCCCGAAAGCAGATCCTGCTGCTGCAGCAGGTGCTCCAAAGATGACTGGGCCTCCCAATGGAGCAATGCCACAGCCATCTGGCCCTGCCTTTCCTGGGGTCCCAAAAGCAGATCCTGCCGCAGCAGCAGCAGCTGGTGCTCCCAAGATGAATGGGCCTCCCAATGGAGCAATTCCAAAACCATCTGGGCCTGCTTTTCTGGGGTTCCCAAAAGCAGATCCTGCAGCAGCAGGCGCTCCCAAGATGACTGGGCCTCCCAATGGAGCAATGCCTCAGCCATCTGGCGCTGCCTTTCCTGGGGTCCCAAAAGCAGATCCTGCAGCAGCAGCAGGTGCACCCAAGATGAATGGGCCTCCCAATGGAGCAATGCCTCTGCCATCTGGCCCTGCCTTTCCTGGGGTCCCAAAAGCAGATCCTGCAGCAGCAGCAGGTGCTCCCAAGATGAATGGACCTCCCAATGGAGCAATGCCAAAGCCAACTGGCCCTGCTTTTCCAGGGCTCCCGAAAGCAGATCCTGCTGCTGCAGCAGGTGCTCCCAAGATGAGTGGACCACCTGGTTCAACATTTCCAGGAGTTCCAAAAGGTGCCGCGGCAACGGGATCGGGGTCTGCTGCCAATTTCAACCAAGGAACAGGTCCAGTCAGTGCATTGCCTAAGATGAATGGACCACCTGGTGGAGCACAGCAACAGAAACCACCCGCAACTGCGTCTTTCCCAGGTATTCCAGGAGCTAAAGGTTCGCCAGCAGCTGCTGGATTTGCTACAAATTCCAATCAGGGGGCCGCAAAAGGTATTCCTGCTGCGAGTGGCTCTGCAATGAAGGGTCTACCGAACCAAGCTCAGATGCCAGGATCCAGTTCATCATTTGCAGGAGCAGCTAAAGCATCAGCTGCGGCCACAAACAGTCCCCCCCAGATTTATCCGCGGTCGAAGGTCGACGGAGCTCCTTCTTTGAATGAAGTGGTCCCCACATTGGGAGGACCATCTACGAGCGCTGAAAACAGTGGCACTACGGCAAAGCCTTGGGACAGGAGTGACACGCAAGGAAGCCCCCAAAGTACTGATTGGGACAATGTGAATGCGATGGGGGCACGCTCCTCCGATAAGACGGATGATGGTGGAATTTTGGGTGGATGGTTCGAGAACAATAAGATTGGCCAGGTAGCATATGGTGTGGTCGGAGCAGCGGCAGCAGCAGCGGCGGCGGCGTTTGTTATCGGCTTTGCACCTGAAAGAGGCCAGCAAGCTCCGATTACTCCAGCGCGCACTTTTCCCGCAATACAGGAATCTGCACAGGTTCTTGCTCCCGCCCGTCAACAGCAGCAGCCCTCACCCCAGCAAGTGCAGCCTGCTCAACCCATTCCACGCTCTCAGCCCATACAACAATCGCAGGCGCCACAATCGCCCGTCCAAGCCAGTACTCGCACTGAAGCCGCGATAGCCCCTCCGCCCCCTTCAGAAGCTGCTGTAGACCAAGGCGCACGCCCAATAATACAACAATCTGCAGATGTGGAAGATGCTGCAGAGCGAGTCGAATGGTACCTTGATAATCTCCGTGTCAAGTTTGACGACCTTGGCCAACAGATGGAGAAGAATGATTTGGTGCTTCAAGAGCAGTCGAAGCAACAGCTGGCAGAGGCACAGGCTCAAAAGAAAATTGCCGAAGATTCGTTGATCGTGATCAAAGAGGACAAAACTCGGCTGGCAGCAGAGAAGGGTCGTCTGGACGCTGCGTTGGACGATGCGAAGTTACTCTATTCTCGCTTGGGTGAGCAGTCGATGATTCAGGTACTCAACGTGGAAAAGGAGTTGAAGAAAGCAGAACAGAGTTTGGAGGCTGCTATTCAGATGAAAGCTGAATTTGAGGCTTCTATGGCTCGAAGTGAGGACGAAGGACCCTTTGCCTTGAAAGACGTCGAACAAGGTTACAGCGAGCGTGAGAATCAGGTGAAATCTACCCTGTCGTTATTGGAAGAAGACTCAATCGACCAGTTGGCGCGTGTTCAAGCAAGGTTAGAGGCAGCCGAACGGTCCCTGGATAACGTGTTGGACGGGAAAGCTAGAGTTGAAGTGGAGCAGGTAGAGCTGAACAAGGACGTCGAGCTCCTAAATGAACGGTATGCACAGCTAATCCAAAGGGCAGAGTTGCGACTCAAGGTCGATACGGCAAAGCTGAATGTCGCCGAGCAGGTGTTGAAGGCAGTCTTCCCCCCGGATAGCTAGAGACGAGTAGCGGATGACTTTGTGTGATAAGCCCATCACCTGATGAACAGAGCAGGTAGCATGGGCATTACTCGTCTACACATACATGCTAACGACTACTATTAAAGAAGCACCCGAATGTACTGTATCTCGCTGGCCTCCTGTTGGCGCCGTAGCTCGCGATGGACGAAGATGCTGAGAATACAACAGTGCTTGCCGGTCGACATTCCGAGAGAACACCCAAGATGAAAAACGGATTGTCAGCTTCATCTAGGGTTGTAGAAATGTTGGGTTCCATTGGCTCCACGTGAAGGCTTTAGATCCTATCCTTGGCTAGGCACTTCGCTCCTGTTGATAATTCTCCTATGGGTAGAAGCCTGCCTCGTGCCAAATTTTTGCTGTTGCCCTTGCAACTGTTTTGGAGCTGTACATACACCGATAATCTGCATCCATACTACACAAGAATCCGAACGGTGTTGAACCAGCTAGAACAGCGGAGGAGAAATCATGAACGAATCTCATGGATTCATCACGATGGTGTTACCAGAAGGCTACAATTATTGTTACCCGCGGCAAAGAAACAATAAAGCAACAGTCTTGGGAGAAGAGTAGTACCAAATAGCTATTAAAAACTAAGCTCACAATAAATGACATTCTTCAAGAGGCATTACCTTGGGCGGGCAGTTCCTGTTGACAACAAACCTCCTTTGGGTAGTTTCTGTAGCCCTGGAAGTTGTCGTTGGAGATAGCATACTGGTTGGATGGTCCTGAGCGGTACCGTGGTACATACATGTACACAAATAATCTGCATCCACACCATGCGTCAACCTCTCAAGTGTCGAACCACTACTAGCTCTAGATACAGCCCAAGAGAAAGGAACCAATCTCAGGGATTCATTACCAGCCATTGCGGGCCTGAAAGGTCATAAAGTGGGCCTTTAATTCCGGTGCTTTCTGTGAACATCGGGCTAGTCGAAGGGATGAATTGATGAATTGCATCGAAACATCGAAACCTACTCGGTTGCTGGAACGCTGGAGCCCTTTTTGCTTTTCACAGCGCTTGGGTCTTCTGCTCTCTCGCCTTTCCTGCCGCCTTCAACCCAGCACTATTTCTTTTGCAAAGTTCAGCCATGCTTTTGGCTTCAGATATTACAGTTTGACAGAGGCTGTTCAAACATCATATCGCTCGAGTGAATGACCGCCGCAGGTGACGATGTTAATGCTATTGATCATGTCACGGAACGCTTCTTTTCTCACCTTGGCCTCTCTCCCATCTCCCAAAGCCCAAAGAATCAAAACATCAAAAACTGCTGCAACCCAGGAAAAAATGGCCATGCGTGATTCGCTAGATTGTGCAAGCTTCTTACGTTCTTCCTTTTGTGACTGATAGGGTTGTGAATTGAAGATGAACAACCCAGAGAATCCTACTTCGTCGGAAACAATCTTCTGACGTTTAAGGTTCTTTGTCACTCGGCAACCCTGTTGAGCGATAGTACATGTAGCTCAGCGATCCAGCAGTCTTTTCGTCTTTTCTACCAGAAAGAGCAATCTTTTCACATCGCTTCCAAGTACCGTATCATCTTCAACAGTTGCTCACCTTTCTTTTCAACCAGAGAGCAAAGGACGCTGGCTAGCAAGCTAGAGTGGGCAAGAGCAGTCAGCCAGCGAACTTAGACTACTTATTAAGATCCAAGATTGGAGGAAGCAAGGCTACATCAGGGGTCAAATATGATACCTTTCCCTATTCTGAGTTCTTTGCCCAGAGTGAAGCTGTATGTAGCTGCTTTTTTCATTGGCTACATGTCGCCCGGCTAGAGGAGCACCAATACCGTATTGCTTTGTGCTGATTCTTCCCTGGAGGAGTCAAGGCAAATGCTGATCTTTGCTTTGTGTTGCGCCTGTTACGCCACCATCCCCTGTCATGGCTCAAGTGCCGGAACCATTTGCTTCTTTTTCTCGCAACCTCTTCAGGTGGCGGTCTGGCTAGAAACTCATAATACAGGGTATCTGCATTGCCATTGAAACCGGATCTCTGCTCAGGACCAGGCGCATCATGTCCTCTCCTATGGCCTGACCCGGTTGGCTAGTGGTCGTATTTAGGTACATGTAGTATGCTGGGTGCTGGTCGCGCCTTGCTTGTCCATTTATTTGTTGCTTGTTGGCTTCAAATCCTCGCTTCACATCCATCTGCAGTGCCTGCAATTTCGTCATGGGTAGATCTGGCAGCTGATCTAGCTAGCTAGCTGTCAACAGTCAAGTGGAGCTCTCAAGCAAGAGGCCAAACTCTTGATGTCGGCTGACTTCAGCAAGTGAATGGCCACAGCTACCGTATGGCCACCTGCGGGCATGGTTATGTCTTTGTGCAATACTAGTAAATAAATATAATTAATGTTGTGGCTACTAAAACTTCTGGAGTGGGCCTTCGCACGTTGGTAACTTTTAGGCCACGAGCTTGGTCCAGATCCGGTGGGCGTATTTAATGACGTGTGTCAACTCCTATGAACAACCATCGATCAGCTTCTTATTCTGAAAACGCTGCACTTTTCCAATACTTTATCTTCTTGAAGAACCATAATCAGATTCTTTTAATCAGTTCTTTGAAGAACGCTAGGGAGAACTGTCCAATGACTCTAGTTGCTCCCGACGAACCCGAAATGACCTGCCGCCTTCAGAATGTCGCGACCACGCAAAAGTACGTGCTCTACTACTGAACCTTGAACAGCGAGGGTCCTCATTGTATGGATAGCTCAAGGATCACTGAGCTGTCATGGTTAGCTACCTGCTGTTACTGCTGTTGACAAGCGACGAGTCTGCATGCTGCATGCAAGAAACCACCACAGTGATAATAACAATCATGGAATTGCCTCATTCAAATGAGCGCTTGAATTCTCAAAACCAAGACCGAATTCAGCCGCACACTTTTCTAGTCAACTCAACAAACAAAAACGAGAGGGCAACTTCATCCATCCACATTTGCATCAGTGACCGTTGAAAACCTCCTCACTTACTTGTGACCCTCCCTGTTGAAGGTGTTCTTTGTCTAACGTATCCCAAGGGTCTTTTCCTCCCTGCCTGCATACTCAAACAGACTTATTTGCGAGAGCAGTTTCTCTTCACATTCACAAACTACTTTCAATCCTCCCTGCATTCTCATTCTTATCCCTCCCTTACCTCCATCTCCACTCCAAGACCTACATCCATCATGCCCTTCTACGACGACTCCGCCGACGTTTCCCTCTCCTCTAGATGCTTTCTTGACGATTCTTCTTCTGACGATGATGATGATGAACCGGGAAACAAGGAGGCTGGATCTTGTAACAACAGCAACGATGGGACCAGTGGCCGGGATACTTCTTCGGATCTGGGAGACGGCACCACCGTCGAGTCGGATTGTCCTACGTGCAGTGCTTCCGAGTGGGCCGAGAAGGAACGCAACGGCGTCAAGAGGACCAAGTGCATTGTGGTGTTGCTTTTAGGCATCGCTACCGTGGCCACGGGATGGTTCACTTACTACATCACCAGAAAGGCAGAGCAAGCTGACTTTGAAAAGAATGTAAGTACTGCTTGGCACTGATGCATCCAGGCTGGGTAGCTACCTTGGCCTAATCTCTGATCCTCCTTGCTTCTATACACGCAGTTCCAAAACTATGCCAGCATGATCAGCACCATCTCGGATGCACAGGCCCGTGATGTCTTTCACAAAGTCCGCAACTTTGCCACCACGATTACCTCCTACTCCAAGACATCCTCCTATTCTTCGTGGCCTTATGTGACCTTGTCAGATTTTGAGCCGCGCGGCTTGCAAATGAATCTCATCTTGAATGCCCCCTTGATCGGAGTGGCACCCATTGTGACGGGATATGGACCCCAGCGCAGCTGGGAGACATATGTGTTTGACAATCAAGGCTGGGTCCAAGAAGGCATCGAGTACCGTCAAGCTCAAGCCTCGCAAGAAACAACTCGTCAGCGCCGCGACCTCGATTTGGTCATTGTGGATCAAGAAGACGCGAAGAATGATCAAGCCATTCCCATTCACTACTACCGCAACTACACCAACGAAGACCGAGTCGCAGTGCCGCTCTGGCAAATGGCTCCCGCACCTCGCAACCCAGAGCCTTTGGTCAACTTGGATCTCTTGTCCCATCCCACCCTGAAACCGGCTCTGGTCGACATGATGTCGTACCAAGTACCCGTCTTGTCGGCGGTGCTCCGGGATGATTACTTTTTGCAAGATGAGCAGAACAATGATGAAGAAGTTACCCTTCTTCTTCGTCAGCCCCATAGTATTCTGTTCGAGCCCATTTATGAACACTTTTCTCATCGTCATCACGATCACGAGAAGAATGCAAGCGCTACCGCCATTGCAAGCAACGAGGTTGTGGCAACCGTCCTGGCATTTCTACCGTGGGGACGGTACTTGGAGAATGTCCTGCCGCTGGGGGTGGAAGCCATTGTGGTGGTTCTGACAAACTCTTGCGGCGATGCCTTTACCTTTGAAATCACGGGGCCGACTGTGACATATGTCGGCGAAGGCAGCCTCTATGATCCTCTGTACAGCGACTTGGTCGTTTCCAAGTCGTTTCATCCATTTCTCCAAGCGGACGAGACCAACAACATTACATTGACATGTGCCTTCAACATGGACATTTATCCTACGTTTGACCTGGAAGACCAGTATCACAGAGCCGAACCCGTGCTCTATACTTCCATGGTGGTGTTTGTCTTTTTCTGCACTACCATGGTGTTCTTTGTCTACGACTACTATGTGACCCAACATCAAGATCAGCAAACCAGCATTGCGATTCGATCCAATGCGCTCATTTCCGACTTGTTCCCGGCCAGGGTCCGAAAACGTATCATGGAGGATGCGCAAGCACAAGTCGATGCCGAGATGGAAGCGAATAACCACGGCAAGGGCTTTGGATTGATGGGGACCACAAGTCAACTCAAGAGCTTTCTCTATGATGGGACCAGAAACTCGCAAGTGATGTCACGCGTGGGCATGGATGATACCCCTCCAATCGCCGACAGCTACAAAGCCTGCACTGTCATGTTTGCCGATATTTCGGGTTTCACAGGTGCGTTTCTGGAACAGGATGCACCATGATCATGTATTGACGTCATTCACTCACTCTTTTCGCGCTCCGAATACAGCTTGGAGCAGTGTGCGGTCTCCAGAACAGGTGTTCGTCTTATTGGAGACGTTGTTCCATTCGTTTGACGAGATTGCCCTTCGCCGCCGCGTATACAAAGGTAAGGTTTGCTCTCCTTGGTTGCAGCAACTGAAGCTTCTGCCCTGTGTTGACGGTTCGATTCTTCGCTTTACCTTTCTGTAGTTGAGACGATCGGGTAAGAGCAGGACTTGGTTGCGCCCCCTTGCGAAGGCTACAGTTGGAACAGTTGGATTCTTTTGTCCTCACCAACTCTTTGCATTCATCATGGCTTTGCCCTTGAATCAATCAGGGATTGCTACGGTAAGCATGCTCTTTGCACTTGTGTACGATGTCAACTTTTGAGAAGATTGGCTCACAGTATGATTCTCCCGCTCAATATACGACAGTTGCTGCAGCGGTAAGCTCTAGCGGTGCTGACGCCAGAGTCAGGCTCCAAAGAAGGACATCTCAAGTTTCAGCTTATGCGATCTTTGTCCTCACCAACTTGTTTTCGCGATGCGTGTTGCGTACATCTTTGCAAATCATTAACGAATCAAACAGGGCGTACCCGGTGAGTCGACGTCTTGTCTTGGGGATCACGGTAGTGTCTTTAGACTCTCCCAACTCACAAGATCCCAACTCCATGTGTGATATTGCCAACATCATGCAGATCCTCGTGAGGACCACGCGATTGTTATGGCTCGCTTCAGTAAGGATATCCAACGGAAAATGAATGACTTGACAAAGCGCCTCGAACAGGAGTTAGGTATGTTCCTGATGATAGTTCAACCTGTCAAAGGGAGGGGCAACCGTTCCCCCGCAACTGCAGCTTACGATTTCTCCACCTGAATACTTGTAGGACCCGAAACTGGAGACTTGGCATTGAGGATTGGTTTGCACAGTGGCAGTTTGACCGCAGGGGTGATTCGCGGAGAGAAAGCACGTTTCCAACTTTTTGGCTCTGTAGTTGATTACGCGTCCAAGATGGAAGCAACGGGGCACAGGAACCGCATTCAAGTCAGCAAAGAAACGGCCGACTTGCTCGTTTCAGGCAACAAGGGAGACTGGCTCAAACAAAGAGAGTGCGGAGATGACACTAATGCTACTTTCTGGTTGGATATCAAGTCAAGGTCGTCACCATCGGCGAGATCTGGGACTAGCTGTGCCAGTTCCCCTAGCAGTGTCGGACTGGAGTCAGCATTGCAGCCCCATTTGTCAGTGCCAGAAGGAATTGAAGGACAGAAACCCGTAGCCTTGGATGAAAAAACAGAGCGCCTGGTCAAATGGATCTCAAAGTCGTTGGAACTGTTGCTCCAGCAGGTTGTAGCCAACCGCAACGCGAACGCAAAAGATCCCGACAAGCAAACTTTGCAGGAGGCGTCTCACGAAGAAGACAATGAAGTAGTGTACAAAGAAGGACAGACCGTAATCGATGAAGTGCAGGAGATCATTGCATTACCGCAGGCCCAAGCCAAGGTGCTGTTAGGGGGGAAACATGCAGCAAAGATTGAACTAAGCAAGGAAGTGGTGCAACAGCTGCATGACTACGTCTCCATCATTGCATCGATGTACAACAAGAATCCTTTCCACAGTAAGTGTTGTCATGCTGCTCTTCATCACAAGTCGCACCTTGATGCACTGTTTTGACCAAGTTGTTCGTCCATTCTTTCCTCCCAAGGCTTTGAGCACGCAACCCACGTGTGTCAGAGCTGCAACAAGCTCATGTCCAGAATAGTCCGTCCGGATGACGTTTTTGATAGTGATGTCAGCTCGGAGATGGAATTGGTGCAAAATTTGCATGCACACACTCACGGAATCACCTCAGGTAGGAACCGGTACAAATACACGCTTGATTTTCCCATGTCCGCTGTGTTTTCACCGTGCTGATCCTTTTCCTTCCAAACCTATAAAAGATCCTTTGACCCAGTTCGCGGTCGTTTTCAGCGGATTGATTCATGATGTTGGTAAGCTGCGAAGATTGCTTGGGACAGCAAACTCTTCGTCAGTAAGAATGTCACTCACTTGTGCTTTGGTTGCCACGGCGCGATCGATGACGTAGATCACGATGGTAAGACTTTTTGAGCTGTCTAGTCTACTTACTTGAAGAATCCAATGTACCTGTCTTCTAAACTGTTGGCTCCTTTTGACATGGCTTTAGGTGTTCCAAATGCTCAACTTGTCAAAGAGGGTACAAGGGTGGCACAGCATTACAAAAACAAAGCTGTGGCAGAACAGAACTCTATCGGTAAGTTGCGACGATCAGTTGGATTTGCAATGAACCAGTCCCGACCCAAAGCTCAGGTCCATGGCACTCACTTGTTACTTTGGTTGCCGCCTTCAATTGGCTCTTATAGATATCGCGTTGGAACTGTTGAACGAACCAGCCTTCGAAGCTCTGCGAGCTGCCATCCATGGTACCCCAGGAGAAAAACGCAGATTTCGACAGCTAGTTATCAACTCAGTGATTGCTACGGATATTGCCGACAAACAGGTAAGAGCGGAAAGAAGCGTTCTACGGTCCTGACGCCAACTGTAAACTTCCTCTCTAACCTCGTTCAAAATCCTCAGCTCAAGGAGCTTCGAAATGCAAGGTGGCAAAAGGCGTTCAGCCCGTCGTCGTCGACCGAGGGCGGCAGCGCCTTGGATGATGTGAACAGGAAGGCTACGATTGTGGTGAGTTCCTTCTTGTGCGTCTTGCCTGGTTCTTCCTCTTCAATTTTTCTAACCTGGATGGTTTATGCCCCCCTTTCGACAGATTGAGCATCTCATTCAAGCATCCGATGTGGCGCACACAATGCAACACTGGTAGGATTTCTAGAATCTTGCTGATGATGAGCAGCTACATGTATGTGCATCTCACCCGCTTATTTGATTTTCATGTTTTGTTGCAGGCTCATGTATCGCAAGTGGTAAGGTTGCGTGGCTCCTGTTGACGCTGATAACAAACAGGTGTTCCTCACCCCGGTTGCAACTTGAATTTTCTTCCAAATCAGGAACGAACGGCTGTTTGCCGAGATGGCACTAGCCTACAAAAATGGGCGCAGTGCTAAGCACCCAGCCGAATTTTGGTACAAGGGTGAACTTGGTAAGGAACTTCCCTGTCAAGGGTCATACTTTGTCGTAGTGTCCTCCGTCTCGTATTAGAGTGTGCTCAAGCAACCGTTTTCTGCTCCCAGGATTCTTTGACTTTTACGTAATACCTCTGGCTAAGAAGCTAAAGGAATGTGGTGTCTTTGGGGTTTCTAGTGACGAGTATCTCAACTACGCCATGATGAACAGGAGAGAATGGGAGGCTAAAGGAGAGCATGCAGTCGCCGAATTGGCTGCGAAATACTAGGGCTTTCTATTATTAATAGCCAGTGGGACCAGGGCTTCCAAAGGACCTTCGCTTGGCATTTGCCATCAAAGACATGGCAGCAGCAGGAATAATCAACGAGGTATGCATCATTAAATAGTGTTTTCATCAACTTATTCATCCCGTCTACACTGATTATGAAGAGAGAGTCGTTTCTGACATCTTCAACAGAAGGGCTGAACTTTGTTTCAGCTTCAGGCAAAAGATCTTTGTCGGCCTGCTGCCTTGGTGCAGGAGTGACTTGACTCAGTCGTGAAACACTTCCACGAACTGCAACTGCAAGGTGTGCTTCAACTCAATGTTCAAGTCAAGTAACAATCGCTCCTTTGTTGGCTGGGCTGCTACGATGTATGGCATGCTGCGATAGGACTGAGATCATTGTGTGATTCCTTCTGAGTGCTTTGTTCGTGCCTTGCTAACTCCTCGTAATAGTGTCAAGTAATGCTGTCCAGATCGACTACTAGCTTGCTGGGCTGGCTTTAACTTCACTTCATTCCCCGTTATCTTGGACGCCGCTGATTTGCCCGCCACCTTCGCTCTCAACGCTCTCTCCAGCGCCCTGGGTGCCGGTGCTTTGTTCATCGTCTTGACTCTCCAAATTTTGGGTGTCGGTGCTTTGTTCATCGTCTTGACTCTCCAAGCTTTGGGTGCCGGTGTTTTGTTCATCGTCTTGACTCTCCAAGCTTCGCGACGTGAGCGCAAACTGGATTTCATCCAACGACACTCCCACTATGACAGCCTTAGTTATCATATCCACAACGGACATCCCAGATTCCTGCAGGTAGCTCTGGAATTCTTGCGACACCTCATCGGTGGTTGAATGGTCTTCCCCGTAGTGCATCTTATGGATCACCTGCAACGAGGGTGAGAAAGCCAGTTGCACAATCGAGCTACAAAGTTCGTATCGTCCTCTAAGAGGCTGCTTTAGGAACGTACCAATGCCTTGATCCCGGAGCGAATGGCCAATGCCTCCTCGTCAAGCGCTTTCGCCAACTTGAAGATAGTTCGATGTGTCTGCCCAAGGCTTTGATGATAGTTTTCCAGAGCCGCTTCCTCGACAGCGAGGCATTGCTTCGTGAATTGCAATGCGACAGCCAAATTCCCCATATTCTGGAGCGCAACGCCGCTGTTGTAAAAGCACTGTGCCATTTCTAGAGGCGACAACGCTCCTCCTGGAAGACTTTCGTAGATTACGAGATACTCTCGAAATGACACGAGGGCAGATTGGTAAAGTCCCCTTATAAGAAAGAACCGCCCCTGTTCCAGATGGCACTTGGCAACCTGAACGTTCGTTGGCTCGACGAATCGAGACCGCACAATTTCAAGCCATTTTTTACAGTGCTTTGTGGCCTCCTCCGCATCCCCGGCTTGGAAGAGAAGAGATGCGAGCTCTTGGGAGGATCTGATCGCCTGGTCGAAGGATTTATTGTCTTTGGTCGGGAGTTTTTCATAAACCGAGACAGCATCGGCAAAGTACTTGACGGCCGCGTCATTATCATTCTTTTGCTTCAACAGCAGTGCAACTGCAAAGGACAGATTGACAAGCTCAGAGTGAGCTTCTCCATATGCAGATTGAAACATCCTACGAGCTTTTGTCATGTGATCAATTGCGAGGTCTGTTTTGTTCAAGTGGCTCAGGTACACTTGCATAAGAATAGCGTGTATCCGAGCCAAATCAGGATGTCCTGCTTGCAGGGTGGCCTCAAGTCTACCAAGGCATGCCAGATAGTATTCAGCTGCTTTGTCGTAATCACCTTTCTGCTGGTAGATGAATCCAAGCCTTTTCAAGAGACCAGTAGGAGGGGCAGCAGCCGCAGCCTTTTCAAGCCACTCCAGTGCCTGGTCGTAGTCTCCTTTGAGCATAAGCACTGTGCCAATCTTGTCACAAGTGAAACCTATACTAGCTCCGTTGGCCTCGCGTATACTAAGCGACTGCTGATGCTTTTCCAGTGCCCCCTCCAAATCCTTGCGTTGCAGGAGAATTTCGCCTAGAGAGTCGTATGCGCTTGCTGTTTCGACGCTGTTTAGCCCGTAGATTGTTTCATGGATGTCGACAACTTTTTGTTGGTTTTCCAAGGCTGCGTCAAGGTCATGCCGTTTTAGGCAGATTCTAGCGATGGCATTGTAACACTCAGCTGTATCTGGATGGCGCTCCCCCAGACAAGCTTCCCGCACACGCAGCGACTTCTTGTACTCTTCCAAAGCCTGCGATTTGTCGTAGTCCCCGTCGCCCCTTTCCAGGGCAAGTCCGATATTGTAACGACAAGCTGCAGTATATTGATTGTTCTCCCCTTTGATGATCAAGTTGATTGCAAGGGATTTGCGGTGATGTTCTAAAGCAGCGTCAATCTTGCCTTGACCATTCAGGCAAACTCCCATGTTGGAGTAGCATATTGCCGTATTCTCGTGGTTTTCACCCACCGTTTGAAGTAGTGTGCCCAAGGCTTTGGTATACTGCTCAAAGGCAACATCTTCCTTTCCCTGGGCATCCAAGACCGATGCAACATTGAACCGAGCAAGGGCAATCTGATAGTCATCTGGTTCAGGAACGGATTGATAAAGCTCCAGTGTTTTTTGGTGCAGTCGTAGCGCCACATCTAGATCTCCCTGCCGGAAGAAGAGATATGCAATATTTGTAATCGTCGCTGCAGCAGCGGGATTGTCCTCGTTTTCTGCGACCAAATGCAGTGCTGTCGTTTTGATCCATTTCCTCATGTGCTCATTGACGCTTATATCCAGTGCTCGAGTCCCTCCACCTGCCCTTACAAGCTGTAGAATCCGATGTCTGTCTTCTTCCTGTGTTGCCTGTGCCTTTTCCACGCTGGTGTTCGACAACGCTTGGTACAGTTTGTCAACCCCACCCGTGTCGCCTGTCAATACAAGAGCATTCAGCATGGCTACTTTCTCGGTAATCGGCATGACAATGGTAACCTCCACACCACTTTGCTGGTTGGAGCAAGCAACATACATTTCAAAGATACACCAGATGCGTGATAGATAAGATGGCTCATTCCACGGACTCATCATGGCCAAGATGTGACCGGTTCCCATGACGCGGCCGAAGAAGATGTCTCGAAAGTCTTCAAAAGGAACCTCTTTTCCTGATTTGTTATTGGAATACACACGGTGTTGATTGTTGCATAAACAGCAAATCCAAATATACGTTCTCTTTGGGTCCAGCTGTTGCTCCTGGCAAAAGTACGACAAAGTGTCGACCACACTCCCGATCGCGTAGCCCCAGGTATACGAAAGCATGAATAGGGCCGGGCCCACTTTATCGGGATCATCTCCCAAAGAATGGACATAGGCGGCTCCAAGCTCACCATCCATGGGGCAGACAACGGATGCGCCTTTGCGACGAATGACACCGTGTTCTTCTTGTCTGAGATCCTCCATCTCATATTTTTTGGCGTCACGGGTCAATCCAGCTTCCTCCACTTCTGACAGCAGTCCGTGGACTAAATGATGAACACTGACACCCAAAAGGCCCACCGGATCGATTTCGTAATCTGTCGGGAACATAATATCATTATTTTCTTCTTTCGAATCCTCTTTTTCTGGGTGGCCTTTTTTCTGTTGCAGATGTCTTCGTAGATTATCTGATAGCATATTTTCCATGACAGCTTCAACCGCACCCTCCGTTTCGCTTGCAGCCTCATTCTTATTGTCATCCTTCAGTACCGAGGCTGGAACTTCCACGGCTTCTTCTGGGTCCTTGTAATCATCTACCAGTGAAAGTGCGGTTGCCCATTCGTCTACGTCGAGATCAAGGCCGGCGGAAGCAGCCAAGTCGTCTACATCAATGTCAATGGCAGAGCTTTCTCGTTCTTGGGCCAATTTCTCTGGTGTGATTTCAAAATCGTCCGGATCAATGGATCTCTGTACTACCGGCTGCTTGAAAGTCTCTAGAGGCGCTGACTCAATATCTTGGAGACCTTCTCCTCTGTCTTCAGCAGCCAATGGTTTGGCTTCTAGAAGAGAGGCAATCCTTCTACGGGAATCGTCCTGACTTGTCTCGGCATCAGGCCTTCGCACTGCAAGCTCCACAGATGCATCATCATCATCATCATCCCTCAGATAGGTCTCCTTTGAAGGTGGAGAAGAACCATATGATCCTGGAGGTTCCATAGTGTTGATGCTGTGAAGGCATACTTTCAAAAACTCTTGCTTGCTTGATGCTATAAAACGGACGGTTTGTTACTATGGCTTGGCAACTTCTTCCCGAACTCCATCATCTTCCCAAACTCTTTCATGATCATGGCATTAGACCGGTTTTTCGTCTTGAAAAATGAGGGTGACGCCAAAATAGTCGTTCACGGGACTTTTGGGGAAGATCTCCCTTTTAATTAAGAAGAGGCTGACATTGACCCACTGAGCCAGCTTCTTTGCCACTTTGCTGATTTCCAATGTTGCTGATCAAACAGACAGCTGCCATATGTGAAATGTATCGAGGAGAAAGTGTTGGGGACTTGCCTCGTTTGCAATTGTGTCCTTGCAACCGACCCATTCAATGGAAAGCTCAGGCTTGGCAACACTGATGTTGGGACAAGGCATTCCACATCTGCCGTAAGTGAGAAATCTGCTTTTGTAAGCTTCGACAGTTCAAGATGTATATCTATTTTACCGATAGCTCGAAAACTAGTGCAACCTTTGATATTAAAGTGGAATATCTGGGGTTCGTAGGTATGACGGCGGTAACCTCACTTCCAGACCGGGGCCTTTATGGGGTGGGAATGGAACATCCTGCAAAATGCCCTCGTCTTTGGCGAGCGCTTCAAGCTGCTCGAAAACGTCCGTGTGCATGTCAATCGCAAGCGGCAATATGACAACGCCCTCTTTGCTTTTCAGTTTCATATCAGCCTTTCGTGCCAAGAAGAGGCCCTTTTTGATCAGTGCTCTTTGTGTGGCCTGATCCCGTTTGCCTTCAGTTCGAAGCTGTGTTACAAGACGTAGGCAAAGTTCAGCAGCCAAATCACTTGCAGCCCAGCCTATATTGGCGTGGATGTTGTCCAAGAAGTCGTGTGGATTGCCATTATCTCCATCAATCATCCAATCTACAGCTTCGTCCAAAGCGACAAAGTCGGAAGGGTCATGGCAGATGTCCAGGAGCCATTTGGTTGGCTTGAATAGTGACTTGCACGGAGTGAATTTTTTTGGTCCGTGGTGTTTTAGGTGTGCCTCCACAACGTATTCATCGAGCACCTCACGCATTCGCAGAGCTTGGCCTTGAGGTTTCAGCACACGCATGACATTGATCAACAGACCCCAATTCCCTAAGGTGTTCGTCGGGTCTTGGGTTGGCATCAGGTCCTGAATCACATAGTTGCATGCCTCAATTGCCTGTCCAACATTTCCTAGGTGATGGTGCCACATTGCACTAAAGGAGAAGGTCTGAGCAGCTCTGTCTGTCCCATAAACTTCTGCCATCCTTGATGAATGCGACTCTGCATCATACACCTCTGCAAGTTTCTTGAATATAGCCAGGGCAGCTGTGCATTTCCCACGTCTCCCACAAATCTCGGCAAACATGGATAAAGCCCTCATGTAGTGGATGGGGTCTGGATGGCACATGCTCTCCTTCACAAACTTTTGTGCCAAATTCACTTCAAAATGGCCTTGACTATCTTGTTGCACTTTGCCGCCTCTGATCCAAGCAAAGATGCCAGAATAGATTGGAAAGAGGATTTCTTTATCTTCCATTTCCGCTGAAGCTGGGCATCGCTCGTAGATTTCCAAGGCGTCGAGCCATGCCTGTGCAGCATCGTTTTGACCAACGGCGTTTGTGCCAGTGTTTTGTCCTTTCTTGATAAGCTTCTTCATGATAAAACTGAGCTCCTCCACAGTTAAAGTGTTGATCTCGTTGTTGGTGAATCCACCGATCTCCATTTCTCTGCGCTTGCAGTAACGATCATACATGTCCTTCACGAGCTGCTTGCCTTGATTGGACCATCTCTTTTGGTTGTTCAGCGCGTGATTAAGGCATTCGCTGCTCGATGCCCCAAAGACTTTGGCTTCTGCCAACCGTTTTGCCAACGGGACTGCATGTTTTCCAAGAAATGCCAACTCATCCTCGTACCAAGTCTCGACCGGATTGCTGCCAGTGCACACCCCGGCATCAAACGCCAAGTTCTTCTCTCTGAAGAGCCTCTCTTGCCAATCCAAGTATACATCCCAATGTTGAAGAGTGTTGGATATGTCCGATGCTTGTACAAGAGCTTCTATAACCACAGTCGCTTTCAAATCCAAGTCTCCTTCATGTAGCCTCAAGTTGTCACAATAGACGTGGAATGCTTTGTCCCAACGTCGGTTTCGCCAAGCCTGAGCTTTTCCATTGAAATGGTCGGTTGCAAGGACACAATTGCAAACGAGGCAACGGAATCTGAAGAGATCCTCCTCCGTTGAAAACAAACACTCTTGAAGATCTTTGTAGCAAGGATCCATGAGGATGTCCCAACCAGTGTTGGTGGACATCTGTTCCTTCACACTTTCTCCTCCATACATTTCGCATACATGAGGCTTCTCCTCTGCCAGCTGTCTGTTTGACTTCCCACACTCAGCAATGTCGGAAATCAACGCGGCAAAGAAGATTGCAAACTGGCTCAGTGGGTCGATGTCAGCCATGTACAGCTGCACAGAATTCTGCGAGTTATGGCTTGATCCCACGTCTAGAGAATCAATCTTTGCGCTGTCGTCGGATACCATGCACCGAATGAGGAGTTTTTGCACAGACATTGCCGTGTACGCCGCCTTTTCAAAGTTGTGGTAGGGTAGGTCATCTCGAAAATGACTGGCGATTCTGACTACCATTGCTTCCAACTGCTGTCCTACTTTGGAGGCAACGTCAACTTTTGCGGCGTTGGTGGGGCTACTTCCGGATAGGAAGGAGCAATCATCCTCAACAGTGGACTGTCTCTTCAGGTGGACAGCATCTACAACTTCCTCCAACGGCCTGACTTTGCCATCCGAGAAATTCTCCAGGAACGCATTGTCACGCCTGATCAAATTGTTGGATTGCATTTCATCGCACTTTTGGATCCTTCGATTCGCCTCCACAACACGGTTGAGCTGCTCCAACAGCAGTTTCAGAACCCAATCAACCAGCCGCTTTTTGTTCGCGGAGCGAGAAATTGGCGAAACTGCGAAGATGAAATTGTTCTCTACGTCTCCCAACACATTTCGACGCTCGGGGCAAACAGGGCTACAATCAGTCGCGGCAACGCTGGCTTCTTCTGAGGAGGCCCGAGGAAAGAGGACGTCGGAATCAAGCTGTGGTTGCTTGACAAAATTACGCCGGAGGCTTGGAAAGACAACCCAGTACGTGTCCATTTCATCACCGTCGCTCTTTGTCGTTGTGTTGAGTGGCTCCCGTTTCTTGATCCACTTTCGCTTTCCGGCTTTTACAAGCAACTCGGCAGTGGCAGACGATACGTGGATCCGGTGCCTTACGCTTGTCGTGTTCAATTCTGTTGCAACGTTGACGGTGGGTCCCAAGAGATTGCACAGCCGGAGCTTTATCTCGGGATTTGGGTCTTGCACAAACCCTGCGACAACGGGGCCCGAAGAGATGCCAACTTTAAGCCGCAGGCTGGCGGTGCCTGGGCCCAGTTTTCTCTCCAGACTCTGGACACTCGTGACCATCTCCTGTAGGATTCTCCTTGAGTATAGTACCATTCGTACTGCGTGATCAGCTTGGGCAACTGGGACCCCCGACACAGCCTTTTGGGAGGAAAGACCGTAGTTTAGGTCAAGACTGACAGTCTATCAAGGAAGGGTTGAAGACAATGCTGCACTTACCACGTACGAGTCTGTGACCGTTTTCACTAACTTGACACCAAGGTCTGAAGCTGCATCCTCGAATTTCTTTGAAAGGTCATGAAGCAGGTCGAATATCTGAGCCGCAGGTCTGGAAGAGCTCCATGCGGTCAGCCCTGTTTTGATGGAGCGGAACGATGTGAGTTCCTCAACTCAACAAAACCTTGACTCACATCGCACACGATATACTAGCTAGTAGTCTTACCCAAGATTTGTGCGTATAGCACAGTAGCATCCTCATAGTAATCCCCAGCGTGATACCCATTGCCGGCCGAAGTGGACGGCACCGTGCATCTCCGGCTCGCGCTCCCGCCCGTGCTCTCGTGCAAAGACCCAGTGTCCGACGAACAAACAGAATCCGCCTGTGATGTATCCTCCTCCTCCTCCATGCCAACCATCTGCCCAAGATCCGGTGCAGGTTCCATCCCTCTTTCAGAAAGGCTGTCCCTCCGATTAGGCCGGGCCAGGCTGCCGCATGCGTGAAGTGACATGATTCCGTATCCAGAGCTTTCTCCAAGGTCGTCACTTTCATCCTCATCACTGCTTTCGTCGTCGTCTTCGCTTTCATCATCCTCATCGTCACAATCATCGTCCACGTGAAAGCGACAGTTTGTGTCCAATCCAATGACGGAGAAGCTGCAACGTCGGTTTGGCATCACCAGGCTTCCACAGGTGGGTATCAAGTCGTTAGCGGAGCTGTCGTACAATTTGTCTCCATCGTCGTCACGATCGGTACAGCTTTGTCTAGGTTCTCTTTGATCCATGTCCTTCAGGCAGGGATTGCTTAGTTTCCTCTTTGGTGGCTCCGGGCAATCTGTGCACACAGGCAGCAGAGGTGTTTCCGGCATTACGGGAATCGAGTTGTCAACGTCGGTATCTTTCTCACCTTTGGATGCTTCTTCCACTTCTTGAGGTGCGATCAAACACGAAGCCGATTTGTTAGGTTGTTGTTCGTGAGTTGATTCATTGCCACTGTTGGCCGCTGGCTGGGCCAACGGGCAGATAGTTTTTGTAGGAGTGTCAGCTGCATGTTCTGGCTCTTCTCCTTTTGGAGATCTTGTCCCAGGTGGCAACAAGCATTCACCAATGCATGTATCATCACTATCAACACAGCTTTGGCGACAAGGTTCTCCCTGATTCAGGCAGGGATCGCTCAGTTTCCTCGTTGGTGGCTCGGGGCAATCTGTGCAAACTGGTACTAGTAGCAGAGGTGCTTCCGGTGTTGCAGGAGTGGAATTGTCAATGTCTGTACCTTTCTCAACTCTGGAGGATTCTTCCACTTCTTGAGATCCAACCAAACATGGAGCTGATTCTTCACATTGTAGTTTGTGAGTTGATTCACTGCCCCCGTTAGCCTCTGACTGGGCCAATGGGCAGAATGGTAGTGTAGGGGTTGCGTCAGCTGCATGTTCAGGCTCTTCTCCCTTTGGAGATGGTGTTGCAGGTGGAGGTTGCAAGCCCTCACCATTGCCCAGAGTGTTGCCCTGATCCTGACCACCAGCATCAGAATCCCGAGGGGGGCGTGTGAGTGTCTCGTCACGGACGGCGCCTGCAAGGGAAGAGGAATGGACAGTGCTATTACCAACTTGACCGTTGTTATCATCCTTTGCGAAGATCTCCAGGTTAGGTTCACTCGTCTTTCGCATAGGTCGGTTTGGACTGGCTCCTTCTGTAGGGTCCTTTACGGAAGCCCACTTGTTGGGCTCGGGGCCTGTGAAAGTAGTAGCTATCTTGTCGTCAAGGCATGATTTGGGTGATTCTTCTTGGTCGTCTCGCTTTCTTATTGCTTGTGTAGTCACCTTTTTCGTTCCTTCCGCCAATAGTATGGGTAGCATGACTTGGCAAAGCCATACACCCATCAAGAAGCTCACGGCCACAAAAAATTCAAAGTCGCAGGTTCTCTCCTGTTGCTGCTGCTGGCGAGACGACGAATGATAAGGATGGCCCTTCTCGATAATGTCACGAACAGACTGGACCTTTTGTCGTCTCCGTTGGTGGGAATCATCTTCTGCATCGACAAAGAAGCCATACTCTCCCTCGATTCTTTGGGAGGTGGTTGTTGCCATGGAGCTCACACCGGTATTTGTGGTTGTGGTAGTACTGACGGATTGACCAATGCCAGTAGTACCGCCCACCCTGGGAAGAGTGCTTTGGTGGCAACCAACATGGCGCCAGGAAGAACTCCTTCTTGGCATTAGCATGGTTGGTTTGGCAGTGAGGGGTCAATGAGGAAAGAGAGAGAGTAGAGTTGTGGTATATCACTGCTGTTTCACACCCCTTGCAACGGCTGCATAATGCCCGTGGATATCTATGGTTGAAAGTCTTCATCAGCGGTTGAAAGAACCCAACCACGGGCATTCCAAAAGGAAGTGCAGCGAAATGCAGCAGGTCGTATTTACTGTTTCTCAGTAGCGAAAATCTCCCCTGAGCTCACATCAGTGCAGCTTTACTCCACTCTATTGCCTCATAGCTTCCCAGCTGGCCCACCATTAGTCTATGTATTATGCAGCCCAATCCTCCAATCGCCTCTTGGCTCCAACGCTCCAACCTCTATCTAAAGATCTAAAGAAGGTAGAGAAGGAACATGAAGGTAGAAGGCAATTCGAGTGCCAACGAACCGGAAGCATGTGCCCTTTTGGAGTCAGCGACGTCAAAAGACAGGAACGCAAGAAGGAAAGTGTGACATGAAGCTTAGCACGTAACGAAGCAACTGGAGCAACGTCATTAAATCTGGCTTGCTCCCACGTGGTGAAACGTAATGTCTCATTGGTATGACCCCACTTTTTTCAGCCTTACACCAGTCTGCTGAGCTACTGTAAAAGTGCTGGCAGCACGATCGCTATCTAATCTTCTTTCAAAAGAAATTAGCCACGGCTATAGCAAGCAAGCTGCTCCAAGTCTAAGATAGATGACCAAGCAAGTAAGTTGTTGCAGGCAGTTTCCTGGAACCATGATGAATCCCATGTCCTCGCTCTGAACTTCAGAGGTGTCAAATCCTGATCAGTATGTATTGCATTTCTTTGACTAGCTAGCTGACAAAATTGCAACTTTTGCCATGATGTTACGACTGCTCGCCTCTGCTTTTTCTTTTTCAACCTTGAGGCGGCACTTTTAACTGGACGAATTCCCAACCAAAAAGAAGAGGTACATGGCATCAAAGGGCCACATTCTTGGCCGGTCAAGAAGCTGTCGGTTTGAGGCCAACGACTTTCCTAATGCTAATCTACACTGACTTTAGCTTTTTCAAAACTTATTGTTACTTGATGTGACGTCTACTAGGCATGTGGAGAGGGAGGATCGATGTGGTGTTGCAGAATAAAAAGGAGGTCACGCTGCTGGGAGCTGGGAAAGCTTCACAAGAATTTTCATCTTTCTATTTCAGATCCTTGACGGAGGGCTGGGCTTGTTTCAGAATGTATTGACCCATGATAGTGGCCCCACTTTTTTCCGAGCTTCCGCTGGGACTGCCACCACTATTACTACTGAGCGACGGTGACACAATGGTGGTTCCACGATACTGCAAGGTTTGTCCTTCCAAATGTTCCAATTCTCGGTTCTTGACGGCACGGCGCATCTCGAATTCGGCCTTTTTGGATAGCAACTCGGAAGTGGACATGCCTGCAACAGGACGACTCGAGATAGAATTCGACTTGCTGCTGAGTGGTTTGCCAGCGCCGCTTAGGTTGTTGAGTTGTCCGCGTTGTTGGGCGGCAGCAATCGCCTGTTCCACAGGATTGGTCAGAGGAGGGAGTGGTGCGTCGCGTTTGGCAAATCCTCGGACCTTCCCGATTCGATTGAACGCAGTCCGTAGGCTTGGAGGCGAAGCTCCAGGGCGAAAGCAAGAGGCAAGTTTTGACATGGTCAGAATAGATGAATCTGAATTGATAGATTGGATTTGTGCGTTTCTAATCTTGATTGCCTATGTTCATACAGTTGATCCAATCCTGCAGGGCTCAAGGCGCATGGTTTTGACCTCGCCTTCCGGATTGATTCATTCGTGGATGGAAGATTGGAGGCAGCTCGTGTGACTCGACTCAAAAGATACCGTACCCTGCAAAAGCCATTCATATGCCTCCTGGCTCGTCTCCGTTTCCATAAATCTTTTATTACCAACACATAACTCCCTTTATTGAAACAGTATTCGCGCGCTCCGCGCGCTCATCCCTTTCTCTGCTTCGCCCCGAGCCCCGAAACTGCTCCCTCGTCATTCATGCAAAACATGTGATCCCTTTCTCTGCTTCGCCCCGAGCCCCGAAACTGCTCCCTCGTCATTCATGCAAAACATGTGATCCCTCATTCATGCGAAAAATGTGAAGAACGCAAGGCGACTTTCATGTGCATGTACATGCGTTGACTGTATCCCGTCAATACAATACTAGTCGAATACGTAGACTTCTACAGAGGCCTCTAAGTAATGCACGCGGGGTATAATTCAAACCTCCACTCCCCAAAAGTACCCTTACCCCTAAAAGCAAATCGTCTCCGGGAGACGAAATTTGAGCTGCTACGCACTCGCACTGAAATGGAATGATTCAATCATGCCGTACAGGCTGAATCTAAGCTATCGAGACAAACGCAAGCCCGCTCCCGGTAAGACATTCGAATGCGAACCGGAACCTTTTGGAACGTTCCTCGAAAAGACTTAAGGGACAATGTAACCCCATCCCTAATAAACTCAACTGACATCACTCGGATCGTTCGATCGATCCAAGCCACTCGTACACCTCTTTCATTATTTCGATACCTCTATCTTTACTCTCTATTGACTCTATCAAGATGATGCTATCTCCTCTATAGCGGCTACTCCTCTTAACAAAGGCTACTACTCACCACCATGACAGGCTCCTCTTGGTTGGTTGGTGGCGGCAGCCGTTCGACGATCGGTCGTTGACTGCTTTCGTTCGACGGATCGATCAACATCCACGGAGCTTTCACGGAGCGATCATGACGCTTCCTCTTCCACGGAACGACGACAAGCGACTACTACTACTAGAACAACAAGCGACGCCTCGACAATGGCACTGGAAAGAACGCTTCCGTTCGACGGATCGATCGGCGGATCGATGACTGATGACTGATGACTGATGACTGGCTCTTCCACTGGCTCTTCCACGGAGCCTCTTCACAGAGCGAATGACGAAGACTTCCATATTGAATGGCTACTACTATATATTCTTCTCCCTCTCCTCTTTCTTCATCCCAACCAAAGAAAGGAGTGTTATCTTCAGTGTCACCAGACTCCACATCCACAACTTGTCCCTCTTCAACAACCAACCTTTTGGCCAGACAGATCTCCGACTCATTTTCAATGGAGCCCACGCCGGTGTCCAAGTTGGATCTGTGGACAAGCTTCTCCTTGAGGATGTAAACCATGTCCACTTCTTCATTCCTAGATCTTTCCAAGTGCTCCTCATGGGTTGGTTGATGGCGTGCATCTGCTTTCTTGATTCGATCGCAGGCCAAAATGTAGGCTTCAACAACGGTGTCCTCCGCAGTTGTCTTGAAGTTGCGACGAGTGACACTGGGACCAATCTGTGGCTTCTTTCTGTGTGTGCGCTTGGTGCTATTCAAGCCGTGTTCTTGGATCTGAGCTTCGATGGGCTTGTAATACTCCTTGGCGTATTTGTCGAGCTGATCCTTGAAGGACATTGTGCTTCCTTCTTCCGGCACATGCATGACTTCGTTGGCAAGCGACTCATATCCAAGCATGTACTTGCGGCACTTGCGGCGGAACCGCATGGTTCTTGTGGCATCATTCATTCGGAGAGCCTCGTTGGCGACTGCAATAAAACTCTTGAAATTGATTTGACGGTCCATTGGCATGCGGCGAATGTATCTTTTCGAGAAGCCCCAAGTGTCTTCGACTCCTTCGCCGGCAATGTTTGGATGGTACTTTGGCGTGAAGACGACGGTGACCTTGCAGTTTGCGTCTGAGAGCTTTTGCGCAAGGAACTCTAGATCGGTCATTTCGCTGGCAAAGTCAGGACGATTCGCCATGAGCCGTGACAAGATCCACTGTTCATGTCCTTCCTTGATGTTGCCATCTTCATCCAAGTCGGCTTTTGCGGCATCCTTGTGGTACTTGTTGTTGGCGTAGTCCTCTTCATTGATCCATCCCGTTTCCCAGAGGACCTGACTTAGCCCCTTCGCCCGACCAACCCAACCGAGCGACTTGATGCGGAGCTGATCCTTGAAGATATCAAGTCCCGCCTCCTGCATGCGTTCCTGCAAAGCAGTCTTGGTGAGATGGCTTTGTGGCAATTCTTTACCGGCGGCTAGGTATTCTGCCTTCATTTCTTTGACGGTCTTCGGGACGCTCTTGGTGCTTTTGACGAGAGTGTTCAACGAAATGCCATCCTCTACCGCTTTCTCTTTGAGTTTCTTCAAGCAGCCCTTGCCCTTATCAAGCGCCTTGGGATCTACGTCGCGGTGAGCTGCAATTTCCTTACGGAGTTGTGCGGCGCTCTTTGGCTTGACTTCATCTTCGTAAAAGATATCAAACCGCTGGGCCAGCCGTTCTTCGGGAGAGAGGTACCAAGGGCCGTCGTCTGGGTTCAACTTGGTCTCGTCGGATTCCCACATGAGCGACTGTTCGTCTCCCACTTGATAAAGCGACGGACCGAACGATCCAATGCATCCCACGCCAAGTGTGGTTTCCCGCATATGTGTCTTGCTCCCATGATCTTTAAGCATGCAGTTGACGTCCAAGCCTCCATCGATCTTCTTGGTGTGGCCGCTGCTTTGATCGAACAGGAAGACGAAATCATGTCCTGGGAATTTCACCTTGATACAGTCAACCATATCTTCGAATTGAATCTTCATTCGGTTGCCATTCCAGTAACCGTCATGTCCTTGGCCGATTTGGATACAACGCATGAATGGGGATTTGCACATTTCTTCGGCTGCCTCTTTGGTGATCGGCCGCTTGGTTGAGTCTCCCAGCTCAACATTGGCGGCATCTTGGGAGATGTATTGGGTATCTTTGCGCCGCTCATTGATTTCTTTAAGAAACTCGGATATATCTGGATCCATTCCGAAAGCATCCGAGACGAAGGCACTCACATGAAGACCTTGGCCGTCATTCTTCTTGCGGAGAATTTGCTCACCGTCAACGCTCCAAGCTTTCTTCGAAACGATGAACTGCATGAATACAGACTCGTCTTGTCCAATGATGATGACTGGACGCTGAGTGGAGTCAAAGTCACGCTTGAGTCCTCCACCAAACTTGCGCTGCTCCTCAGGTACGAATTGAAGGAGTTTTTCATGATTGGCGTCAATGTGGTATTCCCGCATCTCAACTTCTTCGTCTTCTTCTCCAATCTCGTATGTCTCGTAGTGAGTTGAATTTGCTGATAGGAATCCTTCGGCTTCCAGCTCCTCGGCGGCAGTTGCGGGGATTTGCACCCAGCGGTAACAGCGATCTTCGAGTTCAAAATACCGTTTGATGAATATCTTGCGGTAAGCCACGTTGTCAGGACGCTCATGACCGTCGGTATAATACGTCTTGGTGTTCTCGCGGTACTCGAATCCCAGCAGCCGTAACCAACGCTATGCGGTGGAGACAGAGATCGACTTGAGACGAACCATGGCGAGGAACTGACCCCTGTTGAGTGGCTTGATGCCTGAGAGAGCAAGCTCGTGATTACACTTCTCCATGCAGTGAGGGACGATGGTGTCAATCAGGTACCGTTGAGCAAACTCGGAGGTGAGTTTTTCCAGATTCTTCTTGCAGTGACGATACAACATGATGTGAGCTTCTGGGAAAATATTGAACAACTCAACGCTTCCTTTGCCGTTTGTTCTTCGTGGAGGCATGAAGCCCTCATGTCGCATGAACTCCCGCTGGGCGTTGTACACTGCCCTCCAACGGTTGTATGCACGATTTCCACCTGTTCGGCAATCTGCGACAGCTTGTTCAACGCATCTTTCCCAAGACCACGCGTACCGGGGAATTCTGTCGAGAGCCACTTCGTATGATCGGCAGACGAAGATTGCCTTGTTCGTGATGGATTGTTTTGCACTGACCGAGAGTTCTTCGAAATCCTGGTCCGTGCCTACGAGGATAGACGCCATCTCTCTCCAATCGTCAAGGGCGGATCGAAGCTTGGCGACGCGCTCTTCCAAGCAATCTTTGACAGTTTGTTTCGGCGAAGGTTTGAAGACAAGACGAAACCTTTCGTACTCGAGCCTCGTCGGATCAAACTTCGGGGCATTTGGCTGCTGCTTACGCGAGGTAGCGGAGGTAACCACGCTGCGGCAGAATGAAGCATCCTCAAGAAACGAGTCGTCATCTTTGGCTGCTGACGGACCAGAAATTGTTTTGGGTACGGAGTCGTCATCTTTGGGCACAGAGCCGTCATCTATGACTATGGATTCGTCATTCTGGAGCAGCGAGACGTCATCTTGGGCTGCTGGGTCGTCATTCTGGAGCAGCGAGACGTTATCTTTGTCAGGGAAGTCAGCAGCGAGAGCGTCTGTTTCTAAGTCAACATTTCCCACGATCGCTTTTGACACCTGCCACGATGGACGGCGACTTGCAGTACCAACTGATGGACGGCGACGGCGAACCGCAGCACGGCGACTCCGGCGAACCTCAGTATCACCGTTTACGGCTGTGGGCTCAAATGGTACGGGATTTGGTTTTGAGCTACCAGGACGATGGCTGTCAGTGCGAGTACGAGGATGGTGCGCTACCGGTGTCTCTTCCTTGTTTTGCTTTTTCGCACGTGGCGGAGTCTGTGCCGTCTCTGGCTCTGGCTGTACATCTTGTGTCGACTTCCGCTTCTTACCGCCAGCATTTGGCGGTGGCGGTGGTTTCTGCTTTTGACGAGAAGATGCGGTCGGTTGCATGTACGCTGGTAGCTGTTGCGGTTGCGGTAAGTCTTTGTTCGGATCGACAACAACGGTTGTTCCCCCCAAATTCCCCGTGCTAACAGTTGTGGTGTTATTGTTAGGCGGTGCCTTTCCTTTTTGGTTATTGAGAGTTTCCCTCCGCTGCCATCTCAAAGAGTCGAGTTTCTTATCTAAATCTCCAAGGCTGGAAGTCCTCTTCCTTGTTTGTCTCTTTCTATCCTCAAAGGATTTCATTGCCTTGAAGCCAGAGTGAGTACCAATCTCAATTTCATGGGAGTTGCAGAGTATTTGCTGCCAACTCTCATCATCTTTGATGTCTGGAAGAGCATTTGCTTTCTTGGATCTAGAGATGAATATCAACCTTCTCCTCTTTTTCTTCACTCTGATGCCATTGAATTTGTATCCTTTGGATGTGGCATCCTGTGAGAATTGAAAAGGTTTGCTGATTTTGAATTCACCATTAATGAGCTTCTCCACAGCTCTTGACAATTCTCCTATGGCCACATCTTCTGACTGCACATCATATCTCCTACAGATGACTGCTTTGATGGCATCAAGGGTCAACCAACAGTCCTTGAAGGGAGAGACTTTGTCGTCATCGTCGGCATAAAGGAGATCAAGCACAAATCCAGCCAGGAATTCTCTGCTGAGCTCAATGACAAAGGTTGGAGATGGCCTATCCCGCGCAAGGAGAGTGCCTGTGAGTGTGTTGGGGAGCTAGTCCTCTGACCGGATAGGCCAGAACAATGTATTGGTTAAGCTAGAGACTATTTGGCCAACACTGTTGCCATGGTGGTAAAATTGATCTTTTCTTTGTTCTTTGTTATTCTCTGCTGCTGGTGGTGAACCAGTCATTTTGTGGCAAATCAAGCACGATTCGCGAAATGACCACTTCCGGGTTACCATTTCCGAAAACCGAAACATAACCGTCAAAAACGCTCACATTTTACACCTGTCAGCGGTAAAAGAAGTCATCCTGTACCAGTCCCTACTGTGCTGTACAGTACGGTAGGACTTTACCGCACCTCCCGAGAGATTCTCCCGTCCCCTCAATCACATGAATGGTACCGGTAACACGCGTTTACTGGTAAGCGAGCACCCCTCTACGATTCTGCTTGACAAAAAGCAATAAGTCAGCGGGAGCTGCGATACCTCGGCAGAAAGACAGATAGAAGAAGGATGACATGTTTGAGATTGCACTCTTCTTTCAAGGTAGCCCTGGCGACAACACCAGACGAGTCGTGTGTTGTCGCCAGGTATCATTCCCTCATTATAACCTTCTTTTAAGGTAGCCCTGGCGACAACACCCGACTTCGTCGTGTGTTGCCGCCCGTTAACCATAATTTTACAGCTGTCACTCCCGTATGTACCTGTAACTTATGTAGCTTCTTCTGGCTTATTGTGTTGAGTGCACTAACCTTGAATAACCATGATTTATTCCTACCCCTAAATTTGTAGAGTTGGCTTGTGCCTATCTCTATCCCTATATTTTGGCTTCACCGGAACAGGAAACAGGAAGCAGGAAACAGGAAGCAGGAAGCAGGAAACAGGAAACAGGAAGCAGGAAACAGGAAACAGGAAGCAGGAAACAGGAAATACCAAAAAAGGGGGTGAGGGCTCAGGCAGATAGACTGCCGAGGTAATTGCTTTTCAAGTGGTTGTGGATTTCCGGTTGTTGTTTGTTGTCAGAGAGAAGGGTGCCTCACAATTCGAATACCCATGTCGCTTTGGCTTCAATCCTCTTGTTTGGCACTGGTCTTCTTCACTTTTTAAAATCACATCTGTTGCCTCCAACTATGGATCCTGCAGGTTTCAGATATGGAAGCCCCTCTGAGGGATCAGACTCTGACGAAATCTCTGCTCTCACCGAACCTACATTCACTAGCACTTACAACATCATCAACGACAACAAACTACCTGCACAACAGGCAGAGACTGAGAAATACTCTGGCTGCAGTGACCCGGGCAACGAGGCATACTCTGGCTGTAATGACTTGGGCAATGAGGCAGACGTCGAGGCATACTCTGGCTGTAGTAGTGACACCAGTATTGGTAGTGATGATGATGATGATGATGATGATTACGACGATGATGGATTCACAGAAGACCACAACCAGGAAGATTCAACAAAGGAAGTGTCACCCAACCAAGCCACAGGACGCAACAATGGCCCCACGATGAATGAGCTTGCTGCAGATCTTTGTGGGCAATACAACCCCTCCAGAATGGAACTGACAAAAGAAGAGCATCAATGGGCTGTTGCTGTCAAGAACGCCATTGAAAAAATCCCCGATCTTGATAATTTGACGGATTTTATGTATGCTCAGATAGCCATTGTTTCTAAAGGCAATGTTGACGATGCTGTTGTGAGGGCGTTCAAACTTCAAGAGCATAAGAAAGACAATGAAATAATGGACACGCTGGATGATGCACTGAGGAATTTGCCAAAAGAAGCCAACTTCCTCTCTATTGACTACAATCTCCAATCTGGTGGCTACATACTTGCTCTCGATGCTGCAAAGACCGATGTTGCCATCTGGAGGAATCCTGATGAGACATGCTACTACTATCGTCGGGCTTTCTATGCCTTCCAAATGGCACATTGTGATTTGGAGGCACTCAGGGTTGGCCTTACTGTGCTTTGTGAATGTGAGGGGTACCAGCTGATCAAATCAAAACAATTGGGCTCGACTGCATTTCGATCCATGTGGAGCGGTGTGCATGCATATCCAAGAAATTTTACTCAAGTCAAATTCTTCAATCCTCCTCCAATCTTCAAAATGATGGTGTCAATGGTAAAATTGGTGTTGCCAAGAGAAGTTTCATCTACCTTCCAGGTTTGTCCCAGATGTCCATTGGGAAGACTGGACCAGCTGTACTCCATTCCAACCCCTGAAATAGCAAGAGCAAGGTTGCAGGAACGAATGAAAGGGCTTCTAGAGAAACGATATGCCAATGAGGTCAACTTCAGTCTCGATGACCGTGCTCCTCCTCAGAAGGAGCAGACCTGATTTGCGGACAAAACTACTATTCTCATTAAAGCCCATCTTATTGACTGCTATTCCAATTGATTTTAAAATTTTAACTTGCCAGATGAAAATGTCTTTTTCAATAGTGATTCGATATTCGAAAAGGTCCACAGAAAGAAGCCCATGGGAGTGTCTGGGAGGTTGCTCCACCATCTCGATCAAGTCGACGAGAACACTGGCTGTAGTATCCCTCCTTTTCCGGATAGAGAGGACATTGTGTGGTTTCCTCCATTCTGCATAAAGAATGCAGGTTACTATGCGGTTACGGGTGGCAATGCCCTTTTAGAGATCCACGGCCACTTGTTTTTTTAGAATAAGTAATAGTGTTGGATCTTCGGGGGTGGGAAATTTTAAGCAACACTGGTCCAGCTTGCCTTCAACGGCGCGCACGTCGTAGCTAGCTAGTAGGAAAATCTCTTGCCTCTGCTGTCTGCCAGCTTTCAGTAGATCACCACATGGGCCTTGGCCATCAGGATCCATGGACTTCGGAGATATGAAAGCGGCAGGTCCTCCGTTTGAGTGTGCCGTCTGGAGCTCCATTAGTGCTGCCCCCCGCCCCCTTCCGAGCGAAAATTATCCCACGGACCTACTCTACCCGTACTCTCTACTAGCTAGCTAGGTAGAGGCTAGCTAGCTACTCAGAGTAGTCCTGAATTTAGAGGCTGGCCCTCTCCTGGCTTCTTCAGATTGATGACGATCCCTCACTGAGAAGTGAAATATGGATGGTGCACCTGGTCACGGTTTGTTTGTTCTCACTGTCTACATTATTTGATATTTGGGGAGATGAGAAGTTTCATAGCGATAATTATTATGGGAATTCTCCATCCCCTGCAGAACGGACCCCAAAAATGGTGACATGCGTTTACCGGTACCGGTACGATGACAGGTTCCTGGTACAGTACGCTACCGGTGGTACATTCCATGATCAACTGGCCAACTCACACTGCCAAAACCTCAAAGCCACATCGAAACGTCCCAAAGAGTAGTCCAAGCATCAATTCGTATCACAGGATAACCCACCATGGAGCCCGACGGTCTGCTCCTAGGCCGCCGAAGCGCTTCCGCAACCACCAACTTGGACGCCAACAATGAAGACACAGCTGGCAGCCTCGTCTTCCACAACAGCTTGGAAATGGCATCAGAAACAGAAAGCTTCGTTGCTGTAGAGAATGCCCTCCCTGAAGAAGCAGAATACGCTGACAATGAGGAGGAATCGGACACTGATGAGAGTGGTAATGATGACGATGACGACGACAATGATGATCCAACAATGGACCAACTGGCTGCGGATCTATGTGGCCAATACGACACCTCCAGAATGGAGTTGACGCAGGAAGAGCATCAGTGGGCTGTTGCTGTCAAAACTGCCATTGAAAAAATCCCAGATCTTGATAATTTGACAGATTTTATGTATGCTCAAATAGCCATTGTTTCTAAAGGCAATGTTGATGATGCCGTGGCCAGGGCGTTCAAACTTCAAGAGCATAAGAAAGACAATGAAATATTGGACACATTGGACGATGCACTGAGGAATTTGCCAAAAGATGCAAGCTTCCTCTCTATTGACTACAATCTCCAATCTGGTGGCTACATAGTTGCCATGGATGCTGCAGAGTCCAATGGGGCAATATGGAGGAATCCAGATGAGACATGCTACTACAACCGTAGGCAATTCTATGCCGCCCACATGGCACATTGTGATTTGGAGGCACTCAGGGTTGGCTTTACTGTTCTTGTTGAATGCGAGGGGTACCAGCTGGACAAATCAAAACGATTGGGCTTGAGTGCATTTCGATCCATTTGGAACTGTGCACATGCATATCCCAGAAATCTGACTCAAGTCAAATTCTTCAATGCTCCTCGACTCTTCAAGATGATGGTGTCAATGGCAAAATCAACATTGCCAAGAGAAGTCACATCTGCCTTCCAACTTTGTGCCAAATGCCCGTTGGGAAGACTGGACCAGCTGTACTCCATCCCCACCCCTGAAATAGCTGCAGCAAGGTTGCAGGAGCGAATGAAAGGGTTTCTAGAGAAACGATATGCCAATGAGGCCAACTTCAGTCTGGATAACCATGCTCCATTTATGGAAGAACCTTGAGTTCTGGAGAAGTATACTATCTTGTCTAACCCAATCCTACAAATTTACTGCAGCTTGACTGCTATTCCACAAAGTTTAAAAAATATTAGCTAGCTAGCCAGATGAAGATGTCTTCCTCTCCTTCAATAGAGTGTCCCAATTCGAAACGGTCCACGATAGTTGCTGGGGCTCGAGCCTGACAGCCAAGAGTGAGCAGACCAACGAAAGGACGAGGAAAGGATTGCAACGAAGGAGGCCGGGGAATTGGGGAGAGGACAAAGACTACTAGTAGGGATAGGAGATCCAGAGTGCCACGATCATTTCCAAAACTGGGAGCTCAATGCTGGGAGCAGGATTATGAACCACAGAGGCGCATTGTAGCTGATGGAAACAAAAGAGCGAACCACAGAGAGGGCCTGGACCACTTCTTTGCCAAAAACTGGGAGCAATGTTGGAGAGCAGCTTTAGCTTCAGCAGCAAAGAGACCATCAGCAGAAACAACACAGGGGGTGAAGTGTCAGTGTTGTGATTGCACTGAGCCAGGTACTTGGTCTTGTTTCCTGCTATTGCATTCCTTAGGGCCGGCAAGTGTACAGTGCTCTCGTACCGCTACAGCCCGTCAAAAGAAGCACGGCGAGAGACGTTGATTGGGTCAGGCTGCAGGACACACAGCAGGAAACTCGAGACTCGACTCTGCGTGCGGGAAACGCGAAAGATACCCCAAGCCTCCAATCATCTCGCATTTGTCAGGCTGACCGAAAGCCTGGTTGCTGACTGACAGTAGACAGTATTACTTGTTTCTGTCTCAAATACCAGCAACGAGTGCAGCCAACCATGGCAACGACACCAACGACTGCTCGAGGATGGACTTCACTGTTGAAATTTGGCCACGATTCCAGATGCGGTTTGACACCGCAAAAACGGAGAGCCAGCGTCATTGGTTGCTTGCTTTTCGGCACCACTTGCTGCTATCTTGGATCCGAGCGCATTTCGAAAATACCTCCTGACTCTGTAGCCAGAAGACAATCCACAAGGATCATCGCTAATTCCAACGGTGCCGGTATCAGTTCTACCAAGCTTCCTGCCGGACTGCTCCCGACACCTCTCTTTTCGGAACACTTCATCCAGCTTGACCATGAGAACGACAACGACCATGTCAATGCCACCCTTCCACCACTGGATACGCTCGTCTCAAGATCTATATCCACCAACCCTGCACAAATTGTCAAGAATGTCGACTTTCTCTTGGACTTTGCCATTGTGGGCTTTGCCAAGTGCGGTACCACCACCTGGTAGAATGGCTTTTGCAACCACCCCACAACACGAATACCAGTAATCAAGATGATTCCAGTGCTACCACGACCACTACAACTCTCCCCAAACTCATTCGACCACCCAGGCATGAACCGCTGTGGCTCCGAGATCAAAAACCGGCCAAGGCAGTGAGTGTCCTTTACCGTTATGCTCAAGCCGAACAAAAGCAACGACAAGAACGACTGCTCTTGCCACACCAAAAGGCACTCAAGGGATACAAGAATCCCAGTGATATCCAGTACGCGATCTACTCTCCAAGAATTGGCCCCACGCCAAACTCATTTGTCACAGTACGGCATCCCGTGCAATGGATTGCCTCCATTTACAATTACTGCTACTACATGATTGAAAAGTCGGGACGGTTTCATGAGAAGTTGATCGCATCCGATCTGCTCTCGGCACCACGGGATGGTGAAACAGGAGCCACGTCGCATTTCGTATCGACCAGCAAGGCCGAGTTTCATGCCATTTTGGCCGCATTGGGCAAGACACCCTGAACAGCACGGCCGAATGGACCTTGTTGCGGCCGTGGCTGGATCCGTCATCTTTACAAAGGCATCCTCGCATGCCCCATCGGGTCTTTTTCATGGAAACACGACAATTGGTCCGAGTCAAAGAATAATACGACCCGATTGCAACAATTTGTGCAAGATTTGGAAGATTACCTGGGATTGCCACGCCACTATTTGGATCCCCGACCACTGCATACTATCCGACCCTATTCGCAAGACATTACCACCAACCTGGACGACTATCGCATGGATATCTGTGCCCCACAATGGGCCCCCGTCTTGGACGAAATGACGAAGATTTTCACGGGTGGCATCACCTTGGTTGCGACGGTACTTGATCAAGAGCCCGGATGTTGTAGGTCGTCTCCCGAGTATTTGGAACAATTGTTGAAAGATTGGATGATCAATCCATGTGACAAAAATGTGCCGAATAACAATGATGAGAGACAAAAGAAAAAATGCCATTCTAGCCAAGAGGAAGCTGCGGGAGAAATCCCCGGGTCCTTGATTTTCTAATGTTTGCATTTCAATCAGTTCAACTTCTGAATCCTTTGAGTCTGGCCCAACAGCTCATGACTGGCGTCGAATTGTTTCGCAATCACCATTATTGTCGATAACCGGTTGTTGCTAGACAGACCACTCGTCTCGGCTGTTGCCGCGCGCTCTTTGGAGTATAGCCCCTCAAGACTGTTCTTTTGCAGTGGCAGAACTTTTTCTCTTCAATCTCCACAGACAAACCACGTATGGGCAAAAGACCAGACATGTTTCCCAGCCTTGCAAGTGTCGCATCCCTTGTATGTCGTACCAAACAACAGACCCAATGGCTCCTTGTGAGCAGCTGGAGTACAAGGGCTGCCATTGGGCAGTCCCGGAATGGTTATGGATTTGACTTGCAAGACACCGTCCGTTGGCGACACCAAAATGGCCCAAAACCCTGGTTCTCTCTGTCCAGCTCGATGTGGATAAGCCGCGACATGGTCTCGCACCGTTACTGTTCTGCTTTGATTATTGTTGGCACTGGTGACCGTGGTGACCGTAGTGTTGTAGTCTTCCACGCGTTCGGCGTGATAGTGTCCGGCGAAATGATGGACCATGTCGTTACTGTCGGCAAATTGTGCCATGAGTCCCACGACTTCATCCACCGAGGGTGCCTGGTTTCGCAGCCGGTGTTTGCTCAAGGGAAAGTGACTATAGAATATTGTCGCATTGTGGTTTCCGCGCGACACTAAACTGGCTTGCAATCGTTCCAACTGTTGGGTGGCATTGTAGGTCCCATGATCATCGTAGGACTCCCAGTTGAATGCCGCATTGAAACTGACCAACCGGACACCTCGAAAGACACTGTGAAACATGGATTGCCCGTATTGCGCTGTCGGCAAGATTTCATCGTGTACTTCTAGCCCCAACCGTTCCGACTGACGATATGTTTCTCGCACAAACTCGGAGGATTGTCGATTGATGCGATCGGCAACGGCATCGCGCTGTCCGGCGGGTCTCACCCACGGATTGCCGGTGCCGTGAGCTGGATACCAATCGTGATTGCCAAAATTGGACACAAAAGGCATGTCGGCCTGGTAGAAGATGTCCCACAGGCTGCGAATTTCATCGAGGGGAGTTTGGCATTGCCAATTGTTGAAATTGTGTGCATCGTAGTCATTCAACACTGCCCCTCGGAGGTAGAATTCCCACAGCGTGGCCCCAAAACAGTTCCATAGGTGACCCACATCACCACCGTGAATCACCAATTGCGGATCCACCGCAACGTGGCTATAATTGCCATCGTACGTGAGGTTGACGTGTCTCAAGTCTCGAATGTACCGAACCACGTAGCGGGAACGATAAATGTCGTGTCCTCGAAAATGGGTTTCCAAGTCACTGAAGAAGATGATGGTAAAGGGATCCCCCAATTTGTATGGTGGTGAAGGAGTGTCCTTGTTGTTGGTAACATCGCTATCGTGATCAGGGGGTGATGCACGGAAGAACAAACCACAGGACGGCCGGATTGGCAGAAAGAGACAACAGACTCCAAGGAACTTGATCCAATAACGGTACCCAGCTTTCATCGCTCAGCTCCAAGTTGCAGGTTCCCTGGTGTTGCGCTTAGCAGGGATGTGTTGTGTTTTGGCTCCTGGACAAAGTCACCACCGAATAGCATGCTCGTTGTTTGTGTTTGTGTTTTGTGGAACGAGTTTTGAGGTGATCCACGGGATGACATTGAGTCGTGGCTTTGGCGATCTTCACAGGGCGTCATGTTGACACTCACTGGATTGTGAGGGTGACCCAATCCTCTTGTGGGCAAGGATCCTCCTGCGCTTGGCAAACGCTAGCTAGCTAGAGAGATTGTCTTGATGGCGAGGTGAGGTACCACTGGGTCCCCCAATAATTTGTTTCCTCGTGAAGGATAGAGGCATCGCTGTACCGCCATCTGCTCGGGCGGTCGCTCATCTCGATTTTTATCGTGTAAAGTTCAATAGTGATCCCACCAACCGCTTGAACAGCAACTGTTCGCTCCAAAAAAGCAGCCTATGGGAGTTCTCTGATTATATCATCATCCCTGGAATTGGATCTCGAGAACCAGCATTCCAAGATTGCATCAAAGATGGGTTCGTACTTGTATCGGAAGATGCCAACTTTCCAAACAATGCCCAGTCCAAGATTGCATGTGGAAGTCATGAAATTGGATTGAGCATGCCAATCTGTGTAGGTATAGAGTTCCCCTGTGACCATGTCCCAGAACTTGAGATCAGGGTGTGCTATTGGGTCGTCAAATACCGAGAATTGTGGATACCTCAAGTTCAAACCACAGCTAAAATAAGAAATACCCCTCGGTGCCGCTTCGTCTGTTTCGGCGGTATGTCGCAACCCAAACACATGACCCACTTCATGGCTTGCCACGTAGCCAAAGAAATTTTGTGAACCAAGCGATCCCAAAGAACCTGTTGTGGCAAGGCCATCATTATCCCTTGTGAGAACAAATGCCGGCGCTTTGTACAGACAACACCCACCCAAGGGCACATCCACTGTGGCACACCCATTGGTGTTTCGCGCCAACTGGGGGACCACCAAAACATTGATGCGATGTACGTTCTTGATTGTTCGATCTTCTTGGCCAAAAGTGGATGCAAATCTGTCCAGGGCATCGGTGCACACCAGTTCTGGATTGGAATAGAAAGCGTCCTCAACCTCATAAATATCTCCCAGGTAAAAGTCTACCCGACCTTCGTACCAAAAGTTCATCCAAGCTACTTGCACAGCAATCCGAGGTCGTGACATACTATATGCCTTGTAGGGTATGATGCCAAGGAAAGTCTTGTCTTCAAAAGTCCTGTAGAAATCCAGCGTGACATTGCCCTTGTACACACTGGGTTTGCTGTTACTACTGTACCTCAGGGATCGATTCTGGTCGTGTTGAGATACAAGCCGTTGCGTCGCCACACCGAAAATAGTCAGCAGCAGCAACAGCGTAAGACCGCAAAAGAGCTTGATTTGGAAGCTGTACCTGTACAACAAGCATCTCGCGGTCATGCTGGATGCTTGCTACGGACGGTAGCCTGCCATTAAAAAATGTGTTTTTGGTTATCATGGAGTGACTTCATCTTGCTACTAATCCCACAACAGAGTAGCTAGAGCACCTTGACGGAGCACCTGCCTAATGAACTCCTGGTGTAGGAGGCTCCTTCCATGGAGCACCCCACTCCACCGAGCCTCATTTTTCTCGTCTTTTCTGGGATTGGGTTTCCAGAGACACTGAATCGTGCTTTCAGTATCTTTTGTTGGCGATTGATACCCAACCTACACCGCCCGTAAGCATTCCTTGTTGGAAGCACTTTGGAGATTGGAGCAGCTCGCTTGTCTAGCAGTTGAACTGTCGGCGGCGTCCTGTACTTATGCGTATCCACTAGCTTGGAGCACCTTCCGACCAGTTGTATCAAGATTACAGAGGTTTTTAGAGCAGGGGAGTTATCTACGGAGGGTCATGCCACCGCCGTTCATCATCGCCATTGTGTTGCTTGGCCCTTGAGAAAGGAGTGTGTGAGCCGCCAAGGAAGGAACAAGTCTTTTCCAACAAGCACAGCAACAAATCCATCAACCAATACGGCAGAGGAACGGTAGCCATCAGACAAGAAGCAACCACGCAAACCATGATCCGTCTGTTTCAGCTGTTACTGGCACTGCTGATTGCTACTGCTGCCACGGCATTTGATTTTGACAAGTGCAGTGCCTGCATCGGCAAGGGGTGTTGGTATTGCAACCGTGTGGGCAAGACCACCAGTTACGAATCCGGCGCTTGTACCTGCGATTTGGACGCATACAGGTATGGCGATATTTGCAACGATATCAGTATGATCACCAGTGGTGAAACGTACGGACGACAAAAGT